ACCAATACCTGGCAAGCCTCCCATGGGGACTCCAAGACCTGCCAATCCAGCAGCAGCCAAGTGGTTGTTTAATTTGAGCTCGGGGTCGCAGGGAGTGGAATGTTGTTTGTGCTAAATTTTTATTAGACGATAAATTTTCTGATTCTGAAGAATTGACAATACTCACATATTTGAGACCATTCAAGTTCTTATATCTCTTGCCACAATAATCACACTTGTAAGGCTTCTCTCTTTCCATACCTTCATTGCCCGAATAGGGAATAGAAGTTTCTGGGTTGACAATCGAGAATGTGCCATCACCGTTTTCGTGCAACTGTTGAGTTTGATGACCGTGCGTCTTGTGATACCTGAACAAAATTAGTATAAATCTATATCGCACAGGGTAACAATGCTTACTTGAGACCATTTTGATTCTTGTAAGCCTTTTCACATCCGATGACGGGGCACCTAAATGGTTTGTGCTCTTCTCCCATCATCATTCCTGTAGGATCTCCCATTCCATTCATGCTTGCCATCAATTGTTGTTGTTGGTATGCTCTCATTAAATCAGTGTTGCTTGCAAATTGTCCTTGGCCAAGCCCAAATTGAGCAAATTGTTGTTGGAGGGCTCTTTGGTTATTGAAGCCACCGCCATTAGGACTATAGAGACGCTTGGCGGGTTCATCGATACAAAGATCCAAGCCCAAATCATGTCCGCCGAAATTGAAAGGGAAATTCATGTTATTCATATTCATATTTCTATTCCCCATATTCATATTCATAGGCATGCTTGTAAAGTCTCCATCCATTTCCGATGGGGTACCGGGAGCCGAGGTATCTGGTGAAAATGTCTGTGATTGCTGCATGGGTTGTGCTGTCAAAGTAGGGGTATTAACAGAAGAAACAGTCGGGTTATTTTGGAATCCAAAAGAGGAAGTTGCGGGAGTCGGTGGTTGGGATGCTCGGAGACCAGAGTGTTGCATGGTGGAGTTAAGATTAACGGTGGGTCTTGGTTGTTGGCCGAACATAGACTGTTGTGCTGCTTGCACAGGCTGATGATTATGTGAAGATTGAACCGGTGTATCCGGAGTAGAATCCATAGGCCCGATAGCATCGTCCATTTCCATATCTTCAACTCCATCCATCTCATCAGTAGCACCTTGATTAGTCTTTTGTATAGGAGTAGCTGGTTGTGAGCGTTGCTGTTGTCGCATCAATTGAATACCTCCTACACTGGCACCAGCTTGTGGCATCTGTAAGCCCGAAAGCCGAGGCTGTTGTGACGGCTGGGTTTGTTGCTGCTGAACATGATGTTGTGCGGCGGATGTATTTTGTGCTGCAATACCTGCTCTACCGTTGGGTGTTGAGTTTTCCCGAGCTCGTACAATGGATGAATTATTGCGAAGGGATGCTGGGGTCTGTTGCGCATGACACTCTTCGTAATGTTGCAAAAGGTCATGTAGTGTTGGTAATGTATTGCCACAACAGCTGAAATCTTTCATAAAGTTGGCTTCGAGCTTAGGAAGATATGAAGAAGAATGATATGAAGGTGATTGATATGGAAATGGGGAGGTGCCGGCCATGATAATACTAAATCAAAAATTGTCAGTGTCATGAAAATGGAAATCGTGTGCCCCGCACTTGCTAGGGAAGATGGAACATTTTCGTTTGGCAATTGCGATGAATGAAGAATCTAATTCTATGAATCACGAAATAATTGAACCTGTATAGTGGCAAAGGGAAGAAGATTAGATTGAACTCACTCATCTCGAATCCAACTTCCAACAGATACGCCTCCCCAGCTCATGCCTCCAACGAGGCTACCCGCCAAACTTTCGCGACGGGGACGATCATTAATTCTATTTGGATTGTGCATAGATATGGGTTTTGCAGCAGCAAATGATTCTTGTCTCGATCGACCCATGTTATCGTCGAATCCTGTACCGGTAGTCATGATTCTGGCGGACGTTTGTGAATCCGGGTCGAGATAATTGGAATTATTTTTGTTGCCTTGAGATGACGGAGATGACGATGTATTTCTTGTGGGCGTGGCAATATTTATGGGTGAAGAGGTTGTCGTCATGTTAGATTTCAAATGGTAGTTATAATCGCAATCCTCTGGAGTCGTAGGGAATGAAGCAGTGTTGTTTGAATCTGGAGAAGAATGTGAAGATTCTTGTGCTTGTATATGTAATGTAGAAGAGTTGGAGTTGCCTTCGTACTTGAATTTATTAGTAGCAGTCGAATCGATAAGTATCGAGTCCGTGTGGGTTTCTTCGCATGAGGCGGCGTGGGATTGTTTGAACCAATGAGAAAGAGGCATATAGATATTAAAAATGGGTCTGATCTCCGCTACTAGGATTATCTAATTAGCGTCTAATGGAAAAATTGTGGAAAGTAAGTAAAACTAAGAAAGCCACTAAAGCACATTTAACAGTAATGAAGTCTTGTCCTTGGTGCGGACGGTGCATGCCACTTGTGCCAGGACTGACTGGGAACAAACAACAAGAGGGTCGGACGAGGGGGCAGGGTGGATTAAGTGGAGAGGAAAGTTGGGAAGGGAAGAGAGATGGGATGTGGGCTGTCGGAGGAAACATGGGTTACAAAATGTACTTGGTTCCATTCATGTAAAGAAGGCCTCTTGAGCATGTACTAGGTACCAATACGTACAAGTTGAGAAACCAAATATGACCCGGCAATTTTGGGTCGAAAACAACCTACCTAATTGGGTTTTAGTTGAATTCTACCTAGTAGTTCTCATGAACTCGTCTACCGTCTACCTTGGCCGTTGATAGACGAATTGACAAATAGAATAGATGTGCAGCAGGTTGGTACAGTAGGCGAACGTACTCTGTGGAAGAAGGCCGATATGAATAGTGAGTGCGCTTGTGTCAGCTAGTTAGGCACTCGTATGAACTAAAATTGGGTGAGGTCGTGTAGTCGTAACCAGAAGTGTAAGAGGTTTTCGTTTGCCAGAAAGCGAATCGAACGTTGCAAGGTGTATTCAATGGAGGGGAGTAAGCAAGTATGTCACTTCTGATACTTTGGTTTCCGTTGGGACCAATATTTACAAGACGTTCTGGTCCGTATGGAGTGGTAGCGAACAATTTGAAGCCGGGGTTGAACTTGACACACACCAAATAAAGGAGGGTTGTATCGTGGCGCGAATAGTGAATAGGATGTGGAAAAATACACGGTAATTGATGGAGAACTTCGATTATTTTCGCTGCAGGCAAGGGAGTAGCATAGATCAATACGATTAGTGCATGTGAAAGTAAGTACCGTTGATAAAATAATGTAATGTACGTTTTCCCATGGGGGTCCATGGACTGTATTTAACTACTTCTCAACTGGAGGTGGTCACCGTCTGAAATCAGGGTAGTGAACATTGCAGGAGGGTTCAAGCTTGTTACTAGAATTATGAAATTAAAGTTTGAAGTGATGGATGTTTCGTTCGGATTATCAAAGACCGGGTGGTTGGCTTGTGGTCAATGAGTGGTCAAGCATTTTGTCAAAATGTTTACAAGGCTCAAGGCTCCAAGGTCTCTCTAATGGGTTCAGTCCCAACGCTTTGGATGAGATGCGAAGAGGGCTCCGCAGTTAATCTTTCTAGAAGCTTGAAGGATTCTATCATTGATGATGTGTATCTTTAGATGTGGAGATGTATCGACCTTATTTGTGACCTGCTTGATGTATGAGACCAAATTGAACATATCTTTCCTTTGCAGTCTACATCATGCTTCGGATGTGTTTACTATACTACCGGAATCCTTTAACATGATAGATCATATGATAGATGTACGGTGAGATGAAACCCAAACAGCTCTCCTTTTTCTCGTTCGCCAAATCCAAGCGGTGAGCCCCGCCAAATCTGCCGACGTTGTGCGGCGACAGTTCCGTACGAACGGAACATGACGATTCAGAGAAGCGACAGTGTGCTGGATTCGAAGGAAAGATCTCGACCTTGGAAAGATTAATATAGAAGATTCTATACTTCCTTCCCTTCCCTGAGACGTCTCGTTAATGGATCTTGACAGATCTCTCTACCACAGTGGCTCATTTAAATTACCCTTGAGTCGTGCAACCTCGGTTCCCGATGGAGATGGGGTTTAGAACGTCAAGTAGTTGTTTGAAAACTGTCAATCATTACTGAGTATCGTGATCAATCCAAGAGCGTTAAATGTTTCAATGTGGACATACCACAAGCTATGGATCCGTGTAGCTCACTCTTGCTCATTTCGATGTCATGGCGACTATCATTCGCCAGGAAATCGTTATGTCAATTAGTTCCGAGGCAATATTTAATATATGCAGCTTGATAACTCGAATTATTACCCGTACGGAGTAGAGCATCTAATGATTAATTCAAGAGGCAAAAACCCTGTCATCCGAATAAGTTGTGGACGTGTTCGACGTACGAAGTTGTGGATTGTATATTACAGCCATGATCCTAACTGCTTGTACACGAATCGTATCCATTGCTAGAGCAGACTGTAACGCCAAACGCCTAGAGTTCGGCAGGTAAAGTTATGAACGGCAAGCGGTCAAAAGTTTCATCCGCAAGAAGACATCAAGATTCAATGTACAGAGTGTGCCTCTGGATCCATGATGTCAGAGAGCAAACTCAATATCTTTCTCTGTATCCTTTACGCCAATCAGTATCTGTATCCGATTGACAGGACGGGAAGACAGCAAGTAGTCGTAAGATGCGGGGGTTAAATCCAATCCCGATCCGACTTATTTCTCTATTGAGAGATCTATCATTATCATTATTTGACAGCTTGGACGAAGGTTAAGATTATCGGCTTTACTAGATTGACATTTTAGATTTGATTAGGAGGCTGACTCGCAAGTCCCTACCTCTTACACATCGTATCGTACGTACGCCAATTGTACCACGTGATGATCGTCCTTGGTATCGATAGCTGGGCTGAAATGGTTTAAATGGATGGTTTAAGGAATGCTCTAATGGAGGGGTAGAAGAGGTTGAAGAAGTTTAAAGATAGATAAAGTCCAAGCTAATGCCAAAGCCAAAGCCAAACGCCGAACTTTATGTTCGTAATTATCGGGGCAAAACGTCCGCTGCTGCACATCTCATGGGAACGAGGATCTTGGAAAATACAGACAGACATGTGTGTTCAATGGCCAATGATCAATCCGCTCTACTACTCAGTCTCCTTTCATGGTTCACGTCTAGGTACAGTAAGTAGGTTGGATCGGATCTGCATGGAAACGCTTCTCGTCTTTCTTGCCTTCTCACAAGTGCATCTATCCATTCGATCATCCGTGTTGCATCATGACTGATATTGTATATACATATCTATCATTCCATTCCATTCCAGCATCAAACTCAAACTCAAATCCAAATCAGGGTATTTTGTTTGCACGTGATGAGAAAGGGAATTATCTCGGGAATCGTGATTCGGGATCCCATCACATCAGGTTAACTTACGATGTAAAAATTTACATCATCATTCTGGAATTATTTGGCTGCAAGGAGCTTACAAACTGCCAAACCGCATCATGCCACCATTTCCGAATATCAAAATTCTCGGGCTTTGAAAATGGAAAATGGTATAAGAAAGCTAATCAATATACCAGAGGTACCTACCTCGTATATAAAAGAAGAAGAAGAAGAAGAATCAATTCCTTTGTGAAATAATAAATCAATATCAACATCAATATCATTTAACATTTTCTCGGGATTTGATTCTAACCCCCCTCCCCACTTCTTTAAAGAAAGACTTTTGAACGACATCATCGACTGACAGCTTATTAACGACCCATTTTCACGAAAACCAAACGTACGATCGATTCAAAAGTACAACAAAACACCAACAACTGCAAATACAAAACCAAAAGCAAGCAGTACAATCAAGAAGAACGATTAATCTACTTTTCCAAAGCTTCTTGCAAGAATCAATCTCCATATTACCCCTCAATTCGATCTTCAACCTACAGGCAAACAGCTTGCCACACAAGAATTTCTTCAAACCCGCCAAACCCACTATAGATAAAATATGAAGATTCTTACCAAGGAAGAAGAGGCTGAGCACTACAATGCTACTTTAAAGGGTGGTATTACAGGAGGTTTCCTTGGTCTCGCAATGGTACATATTTCATCGCATTCTCAATATCTCACTCAGATAAAACTGACCGAATCTCTCAGGGTGGCGCCGCACTCTACGTGGCCAACAGACGATTCCACACCATCCGCAGTCTCACCATTCCCATGAAAAGTTTCCTCGTCACATCATCCGGTACTTTCGCCGCCATCATCAGCGCGGATCGCGCATCTCGCTCATACGAATGGAATCGCGACCCCTCGCGAAATTACAAGGACAAATCGACGCTCCTTCTCGAACAAGAAAAGGCCAATGAAACTACTGCGCAGCGCCTCAAGGCATGGGGAAAAGAAAACCGATACTCAATCGTTACCGCATCATGGGTGGCCAGTATGGGAATCGCCTTTGGGATGGTCTCCAAAAATAAATATTTGACTGGAGCCCAGAAGTTGGTACAAGCAAGAGTTTATGCGCAAGGGTTGACATTGGCTGTATTGGTTGCATCAGCGGCATTCGAGATGGGAGATGCTAAGAAGGGAACAGGAAGATGGGAAACGGTTACGGTGTTGGATCCAAACGATCCGGAACATAAACATTTGATCCAGAAGAAGATTCACCACGAAGCTTATGAAGGAGAAGATTTATGGCGTGGTATGTTGCAATCATTTTCACTGTGCTTTGGCCAAAATCTGAATTCATACTAATCGATATACATAGATATGGTAGAAGCTGAAGAGCGCCGCATTAATGAACGCAAGAGAGCAGCAGAAGAAAGAAACCACTCCCCGGGCAAAACATCCTCGGGTAAAGAAAACAAAGATAAAATCTCTAGGGAGATGAAGAGTGCTGGAAAGGTAGCATTCGCAGATGCCAAGGAGAGAGAAGAGAAGAACCAGGCCGAGCAAGCTGAAAAGGAAGCGGATGCAAAAAACGAGTCCGCACAGTCTGAACCAAAAGTGAATGGTAGAAATAAGATCTAAAAATGGAGTATTTGGCTACTCAATCTTTCTGGTGTTTTGTATGGGCATTGGATGGCGCGCTGAGTGATTTCTGGATGATAGATGGGGGAATCAAAAAAGGGGGGTGTTTGGAGAAGGGGTCGAGTAATTTTGTATATACTCCGGTTCTTGTATCATTAGAATGACAAACAAACATGTCTCTAGTAACTTCTGTCCATTTTTCGACTTGCATTTTTGTGGTATATGGTATATTCAAGATTATCCTCGCTATTCGGCAAGCGCCAATCAAACAAATCGAATTGCTCAGTTGACGAAAATAGGAACTGAAGACTCCATCGCCCATTGGTTGGGATGGCGAGTGTGTCGTAGCATCCGATTTGCAGTGATGGAAAAGCCACGAATGACGAGTTTCTCGTAGCATATCTTCCGACCAATAAACGCACTAGGTAAACCCCCTCATATACAATACATTAACTTCAGCTATCGTCTGATGTTGTGGAGAAAATACAAAAGCCGTCCCTTCTTTTCTTCTTATAGCGGTAAATTGGTCAGTGTGGAGATGTACTGGTATATACAGGTATGGATGGGTTTACGGGATATGAATGGTAATGTGTTTAATGTTTGGATGGTAGGTTTAGGAGTATAGTATGAGAGGGTGGGAAAGAACGAGGGGGGGAGTAGCTTGGGTTGATCTACTTGTTTGATGGTTTGAGTTGCTATAGAGAGAGGAGCTGGGTGATAAGAGGATTTTTTTGGTGGATTGGAAAGCGGGAGGGAATTCGAGGCTTTGTTTCCATGCCTGATTCTTTTGTTCACTTTGCTCATTTCATGTCGTGTTCGAGAATGTGAGATCTTTCGTGATTGTCTGAGTAGTCAAGGTACTGAACTGAGTGTTATTGTTTTGGATAGTGATAGGTGGGAATGAATGGTAGGGGACTGCGGAAGTCTGAAATATAGACCGTCGATATTTTGTTTGGAGTATTGAGTTGAGTCGAGTTCGGATACGATAGTTTGAGTGTGTATGCCCAAGATACTATAACTTGAGAAGCTGTAGTGGCATAGTTCATTGCGAATGGGGAGACTACAGAGCTAGTTAGACTTTCTCGTGACTTGTTTAGGGGTTGATGTGGATTTGGGGCTCGATAATCGAAGAGGTTCAAATACGAATCTCACCCTGAGGTTACGTTTCAGATATCGAGAGTTTGCGTTGTATCTGCTGTCGATCAGATTATTCCGGATCTTAGAATGATTTGTATGGCTTGAGAGAAGAGTCAGCTCCGTATGATATACCAGTGCAAGTCTTGGAAATGTGTTGTGGGATACGAACGTCTAACATTACCATCTATATCCTAAATCTAAGGTGTCCGGTTTCTTTTGTTCAAGAATAATGCGTATACGGCGTTCCATACACATATCCAACTGTCGGTCGGTCGCTCTTATCCGTTTGAACTCTCAGCTTTTCGACAAGCATTTACCCCATATTATTGGTAGGCTCTTGTGGATATAGAATCTTCAATAGATCAGTGGTATCTTCTCTTGTTTTGCCATATGTGCAAGATGAAAGCTGTGGCCATCCAGAAACCAGGCAAAATAAAGGGTTTTAGTGTTGATGAGCTTCAATTCCAACTAGATCACCTTTGGGTGAAAAATATGGCATTGGTCTTGAGCCCAAGTACTACCTGATCACAAGACTAAAATTAGGTGGGTTTTGCTAATACCCATAGCTAATTGGAGGCACATTGAGTTACTAAGTCAGGCTGATTGTGTTGTTGATATGTCTTCTCTCTAACGCTTCTTGCATTTTGCGCGATGCTTTGATATCCCACAAAGGGTGCGATTACTCAGCCATTGTTGAAGCAGTAGGCAAGACTTGCAATAGCAACATCTGGATCGGAGATAAAGTACATGGCTTATGTTATGGTGGTAAAAATGTATGTCCTCTAAAAAAGATAGGAATATCCTCTCCAAGAGACCTCAGAGCAACCTCGCAGATGGAGCTTTCACGGAGTTTTACGACCAGAAACACGATCTATGTTTGCGGGCTCCGGAGAATCTCAGCTGTGAACAAGCAGCAGCCCTTGGTGTTGAAATCATTGGCACTGGGCAATACATCTACCAATCACTTGGGTTCTCATTGGAATTTTGGATATCGAATATTATTATTCGGGCTATCAGTATGTAGCTACAACAAGGGGTCGTGGCAGACTTCGTCTTAGTACTTTAGCTGAAGTATTGCTCTGTTTTAATTTTGTAGGGAGTAGTAGGTTTGCATGAAGTCATGCAAAGAGCTTGCTCGGAGGCCCAGCACTTTCTTAGAAACACGTGAATGAATACTTTTAACCACAAAGACTTCATACATGTGCAATGATATTTATATATGAAGCCTTCGAGCAGGTTTTCCCAAGAACTCAGAGGTCAATTCAAGATCAATCCATATTATGAAGAAAGCGTCAAAAATGAGAAGATATGTGCGTTTTATTTCTATATACAGTGGTTCCACTACAATCTTTTCAAATTACAAAATTATACATTACTATCAAAATACACCCTTATTTTTGCTTGAGTATCATCTCAAGAGCTAGCTTCGGCAAGGATTACATCCGCAGCCTTCTCACTGATCATGTAGATGGATAGTGCAATGTACATGCCCGGAATCTTTGGGAAGACACTGGCATCAACAACTCTCAATCCATCGACACCTCTGACCTTGAAGTTGGTATCCAAGACTGCCATTTCATCATCATCAGCCCCAATAGGACAAGAACACGATGCATGATGTCCCCAAGCCTCATCGAGCGCAAATTGCTTAAGATCTTCCTCAGAAGTAATGCTCTCATCTGGCCAAATACGGGTGAAGGAGCCATCGAGCGGAATGAGGTTCTCGAACGCTTCGATTCCGAATTTCATTCCCTCGTAAACAGCTTGGAGATCTTCGTCACCACCAACACCGGTCTCGAAATAGTTGAATACGATTTCGGGGGTATCACGGGGATCGGCGGATCTCAAATTAACGGTTCCAGCATTGTTGCGCGAGTGCGCTTTGAGGGTCAACCAAGTCCAGATGTTGCGCTTTGCGAGTGCGTGTACGGAGTAGCCGGGGAAGTATCCATTGAAGTAAGCGGGAACACCTCCGAGGTAGAGATCTTGGACTCCATCTGCAACGGAGGAATGTTTAGGGTATGCGATAGCGATACCGTTGGTAGAGTATCCACCCTTGAGCAAAGGAAGAGTCTCCCATTGTTCGAGACAGGGATCAGTACCATTGAGGAAAGTACATTCTTTGAGTAGGGAGAAGTCGGATGTGGAGTTTCCGACAATACCAACTTCGTAACGATCTTGCATGTTGGTGCCTACACCGGGTAAATCAACAATAACTGGGATACCAAACTTCTCGAGCTCAGCCTTGGGACCAACACCGGATAATTTGAGAATTTGGGGTGTGTTGAATGTACCACCTGAGACGATCACTTCTTTGGTAGCGGTGACACTTCCGTAGGTGCCTTCGGAATCGTCTACATTTTTGCTTCGTGGATCAGCGCGATAGAGAGATTTTCCAACGATGAATTCGACTCCGGTGGCTCTTGGTGTAGCGGCAGTAGTGTTGAATTGGACCTTGGTAACAAGAGTGTTGAGTTGCACGTCTAACTTGTATTTCTTGGATCCATCCGAGTTAGTAGCATTTGCAACGCTCCAGACAAAGTCTCGAGGAGAAGAACGAGAGTATTCCGGGAACTTCATAGCGAGAGGAACCTGGTACAAAGCATCGACCTGATCACGATTTGGAGAATCATTGTTGATATCCAGGGCGAGAACCTCAGCCAACCCAGTGACTGTGGTGATCAAGCCTCCAAGAAGACCCTTGCCCATAGTCGTAGCTGCGGCAATGACGAGCGAAAGAACCTTTTGATCTTGAACAATAAGTTCTGGGTTGGTAACTTCGGTCTGCAACCAGCCGTCGAAACCATGACCTGTGACATCTGCGCTGAGGTAGTGGCATGATTCGAGCTTTTTGTAGTATTCGCGCATCTTTGCTGGAGCCCAGGAATCATCGCCGGTTACGTTTTGGATGTATTGCCAGTCGGTTTCTTGGGGCAGGATGGTGATCAAAGCATTGTGCTCAGCACATCCACCAAGAGTTCCCGTTCTTGGGTAAAGAATTCCCAAAGGAGTTGCGCCTAGAATATTGATTAGCAAGATCCAGAAAACCCCGACTTAAAGTCGACAAGAGGAAACCGAATTACCTTCAGGAGGATCAAGACCAACATAGAAGTCTCCGTCAGCCGTCTGGTACGTCATCTTTGAGTCTCTTGCTTGTCTGGTCTCATTTGCGTAATGTTGAACAAAGAAATCCCATCGAATTGGATCGTACTCTGAAGCCAAAACATGCAATGCAGGGACTTGCATCTCAATATCATCTCCATGGTCCTCTCCAGCATCAATAAGCAAGACTGAGTGGCCTGCTAGAGCAAGTCTGGCGGCCAGAGGAGCACCTCCCGGCCCACTTCCTACTACAACATACTCATAGGGATCAAGAGTAATGTTCGCGGAACTCGATGTGGCGTTCGCGGTACGTTGGTGAAGATGTTGATGTGTATGTTGAGACTTGCTACAAACGTGTTAGTCAGCTGCAAGAGTATACTTATGGAGGTTCCGGCACTTACAATGCAGAAGCCGTGAGACTGAAAAGAGCGACAAGGCTCAGAGATCTTTTGGGAAACATGGTACTTCCAAATGATCAAATGGAACCAAAGAAAACAAAGACAATTGCCAAGGAATGAAGGAGTGACTGTGTGTGTGAGGAGGGATTGTCCACGATGCTGAGTTGAACTTTATATATTGTCGAAGCCCTCCACTGGACCACTTCTAATGGAACTGTATTCGCAATCTCTCACTCTTTACTGTCCGTGATCGTTAATACAATCCCCTGAAGGGATCGCAACGTAAGGGGAGGTGTGAAGATCATTACCAGGTGTCTAGATGGTGGAATACACAGCGTGTACTCGCGACACCTTTACCCAGCAGTCGTGATGTTCATGAGGAATTCCCAATACGATTTTGGTAATGAAATTCAAAAGTGGAGAAAGACATAGGGATAAAGCGTACACTTTCCCAAACCGATAGAGATCTAAAATTTGCATACGAGATGCTTGTCTTTCCCTCTCAAAACGTTTCTAGAAGTACATTTTCCCTGAAAATTTAGTTGCTACGCCCCGCAAAAGCTTAATCAGAGCTTGCATGGGACCCCAGACTTTCAATTTTCGACCTCAATGGTTAGAGTAATGATGTGCTACTTCATTTTGGATGTAAACGCGAATTATAGCCGTAATTACTAAAAGTCCCTTTTTGGCAAAATATCTGGCAATCGCTGCAGATCTTCCTCTTTGACAGCTCAACGGTTGTCAAAGCTTCTCTCTAGGGGTCGAGAATAGGTCTACAGAGTAAGCGAATTCTGCTAACGCAGGGGGGGGTTAGTGTCGGGATACAAGTGTGATGTGATGTCAGATTTAGCGGTGTGGTGCACATTAGTACCTTGATGGAAATAGATTGGCAAATCAAATATGAATATATGTAGGACCTCAGCAATGGTAAGGCTCGTCTGCAAAGAAGGTTTGGCCAAGACTGTCTATTTAAAACGACGAAAAAAATTCCAGCCTCAATTGAAGAGATTTAAAATATTGAGATACTGTTGACAAATCAGATCTCGTGCTGTGGGATATAATTAGATATTTACATTACGTGTAGGTCCTTCGGGGAGTCTCAGACCCAGTTCAAACGCTTGTGAATTAAAACAAATTTTGAAGGAAAACAATTCTGGAATATTTATCTCATAATGCACGCCGGCGTTTCATAAATAAACTCCCCAACCCTCTCTAATAAAATAGCCATCAATGGGATGCCTTCAGACAGCGTTGCAATGAGAACTGGTCAAAAACTTTGTGCTCGAGGCATCGACATCGTCAAGTGGAATGAAGTCACCCTTCTCGTTCCTCTTCGGCGCTGAAGCTTTAGAGCTCATGAATGATCTCTTGCCAGTTGTCCCCGCAGTTCTTTGAGTGCTGACTGCAGCAGTTGTCTGTAATTTCGGCATTATCAGATTCAGCAGAGGTCGTAATGCTGGCAAGCACCCGCAGAATATGCCAACATGCATTTCGAGAGTACTCCAATATGCCGCTGGACTGTAGTCCCCTAAACCATTATTCAGTAAAGATAATTCAGAAAATTAGTGTTGAACTTACAGGTTATGTTTGTTGTGCTGGCGAATTGAATGAGCGCATGAAGTCGTATGATGCTTACTGCAGTAACGCTGTACATAATTAGCAAACAAGAAATACAGAATAATTGAAGGAAGTCCTACAATAGTCCTAGAGCTTAGGGGGTCTGTTAGCAAGATTCTACGCATTGAGAGGCAGATTAAAACTTACAGAACATAAACATAATAGTTATTTTTTTGGTTGGAGACATGACCAATTTGGAAAGTTTGTTCAGTGGCAGGCCAATAACTATAACATCCAAAACAATGTTGAGAATAGAACTCAGCCATCCTTGGAGATTGATGTTGTTACAAGTTCCAGTGTGCAAGCCATCCCATTGATGCCATCCATAGCTAACCGGCCAGCATTGGAAGATTGTTGCTATCACAAAGCTAACACCATAGGCAACAGAAAGTCCGAGTGTGCCCCAAACATAATAGATGAATGGCTTCTCGCGAAATACGCGAAGGAAAAGAAGGCAGAATGTAACTTTGGTCATGGCCATTGCGGCAAGATAGAAACATTCGCCAAGAACATAATACTAATTCACGTCAGCTCTTAGCCGATGACTTCAGGATCAAGTGTACAAACAAATAAAACATTTGTGATCTCATCAGCTGTCAATGTCCACATATCTTTTCCGAGACCATTGTTGGCCACTGTGATTTGTATTAGTATGATAACTTGAGCTCATGAATGTTACTTACAGATGACAGAGAAAACAGTTGGAGGAGTTGCCAAAGCCTAGTTTACATTAGCTGAGGTCGCACGTTTTAGGTTGAAAGCTGTCGACTGACCACAACAGCACACATTGCCCAGTCATCCATACCCCATTGCCTCACTTTCAGAGCGGTAGCCAGCAACCGTCCAAAGAAGGCTAGCAAGGCAACACATCCTCCAATAACACCAATATACTCGCCATCCTTCCTCCTATCTCGCACCGGTGCGCTACACATGGTCTCGGTAACATTTTTGGTAGCTTTAAAAAGGTTAGAGACAGCTCAGTGCAGGGGTTTTCTTCATTATTCCAACAGATCTAACTTACTTAAAAGTTCAAAAACAGTACAGCTTTGCATCGCGCAGAGTGTGATACTCTCTTGTAACTCAGCATTTGTGCAAAGACATATGATATCTGTCGCATCACATCCAGACGTAGGAATAGCTTGTGCCATACATTTTAGCTAGAGGCAGCCGTCAGAGGAGCCAGCAAGAACAGGATACTCAATGAAACTTACCGAGCAAGTCGGATATGATGCTTGGGCGGCCGCTAAAAGAGAGGCGGACGAACCCCTGGGGTTTAACGAGGACTGTGCTGTGCAAACCATGGTCAAACTGGCCATGACAGCCATGAAATTGAGGGACAACTTCATGTTGACTCCTTAGTGCCTTTAGTTCGTATGAATATTAACGATAGTATTAACGATAGTAAAGTACGAAATGAAAAGAAGGAATTCAAAAAGTCAAACAAAACTACAACGAACGCTATCGTAAACTTGGGAGAATCTGATCATGTATAAGTGCGTGTACTATAACCCTGCGAATATTAAACAGTATGCCATGCTCCAACAACCTTGAAGCTAGAATTTGCCAGCAAAGTGGAACGAATACTGATGTCAAAGTTTGTCGTTGATCGGCCCCATAATTTATTCTGCTTCTAGTCAACGGTCGTGGCCGACATATCCCTTGCCTGTCAGAATCCCCAACATGGTAAGGGAGTGAGTGGGTTTTGGATAACTGTATCCGTAGTCTCGTGTCAACCCCTTGAGAAGATTCTATCCATGTTTCTTGGCAAGATACTTTCTTGGGAACTTTACCAATCAAGCAAGTATAGTGCTCATCCAGTCAGCGAAGAGCAGGCATTTGACCCAACAGTGGTGCGGCATATTTCAAGAAGCTTGAACCACCCTACTCCATAGACGATTGTCTATCACAATCGGGGACGTCGAATTGCGACAGAACATTACGAAACATTCGAGCTATCGAAGCGTTCTAATGGGTCCGTACTTCGTGGTGTATCAATAAATTCTCCGAAATTCAAATAGAGGAACGGAAAACATTTGGGAAAATGGTTCTTTCTTTCCATCGTACCATGATCTACCAATATAGACTTTAGACTTTCGGTCAAACTTAGGTATGCTTCCAATTGGCATCGACATGGTTGGGCTGCTTTGACCGTTAGATTTTCATCAACATCATACAATCTGGGACTGAACTCGGCTTTTGAGAGAATGGATGTTAAAAGTTTTCCCGGGGTTTGTGCCATGCTCATTGCTCAGCCATGTTTGTGGAAGCACAAGCCTTAGAGAGGTTGATGCTAGACAAGGTAGGTATTGTCCAATCGCTTACTGAAGTTGCGTAGGGGTGAGTAGGAGGTAGGGAGTAGATAAATTTTCCTACGGCTATCAGCTGCCGTACGTTGGTTGTTGAGATTGAAGTGTATCAGTATTTTACTAAACGTGTGAGGTGGAGAATTCAAGAAATAGAGTAATGTGGAGTCAAGTTCATTGGTGCTTCAAAAGTAGACGAATAGTGTTTATGACCATTGGGGTGTGAGTTTATCTGCGCTCGGTCATAGTCACATAATTTACTGGTTATCTTGTACACATTTTACTATAGCTACGCCTAATATTGTAAACCTACCCAAGTAATGTTACATCCAATGGGCGTACCATATCTCTTAATATTTCCCATCTTTCGATACGTAACCCAAGTAATGAATATCCTCGACCCGCAAGACTGAAGCAGTTAAAGACACTGGGGAACAATGCCCCTAAACTCCCTATCTGCGAGATCAATCTTATAAGATTTGTTCCCTGACGGAAAGATTGCCTACTAGAGTAACCTAGGGCCTATGCTTGTTGACCTAATGCTTGTCAATGAAGGCACTGCCGATCACTTCAAAGTCTGTTGTCGATCCAAATACCGCTCATGTGTCTCATCAAAGCCCTGAGGAGTATTTGAGCAATTTTGATTTCCACTCTTGCTCGACTATAACTTCCAAGTAGAATATAATGGATATCCGCGTACACATACCCTTGCTTCCCCGTCGTATCCTCCGGGTTAGGCTAGCTATTCGAAGTTTCGAACGATGTCACTAGCCAGTGGAAAATATCCTATTTCATGATATGTCATGAGTTTCTCATCTAACATTCAATTGTAAAAGATTTGTTACATTTCGTCGTGTCAATCGTTCCACTTCACAGTCACTCCTTTAACATTTGAAGATGAAGTTTTCGTCGTTCATTCTTTACTTTCCGCTTTTGTGTACGAGTGCCCTGGCATTTCCAACTCTAAATGCTTCGCCAAAATCTTTTGAGAGAGCCCCGGGAGACAGCTGGTACGAGAATTTGAAGAGACAAGTTGAGAATCACCCGGAAGTCAAAAAAAGATTGTTGGTTGATTTTTTGACCACTCCCATCGATGGTAATACCACAAACCTAGATTTCTATTTTGAACATCACTAACAATAAGATAGTCACTGGAGACCATGTATTTGTTCCACCTGACTTCGACAATGGGGACCAGCGAGGCCCATGTCCAGGATTGAATATGCTCGCAAACCATGACTACATTCCTCACAATGGTGTCGCTTCAATGGTAGAGATCATCGCTGGTGTAAATTCCGTATTCGGAATGGGAATCGAGCTCATCACCGTCCTGGCTGTAATGGGAACGGTCGGTGTCGGCGACCCTATCTCACTAAATCCCGGGTTTTCGATTGGAGGCTACACTCCGAAAGTCTCTAACATTCTTGATAATCTTGACGGTCTTTTGGGAACACCTCGTGGTCTTGACAGCTCTCACAATTGGATCGAAGCAGATTCCTCGAATACCCGAGACGACTTGTATGTGACAGGAGACGCATCAACAATGAACATGACTCTGTTCTTACAAGTCGCCAATGGATCCGATTCTGAAGTCATCACAATGGAAGATATTGGAAAACGCGCTGCCGAACGTCTCGAAGTCAGCATAGCTACCAACCCTTATTTTTACTACGGACCCTACACCGGCATGATTGCACGAAATGCTGGATATGCATTCTCTGGTCGCCTTTTGAGTAACCACACCACCGAGAATCCGGACGGAATTATGACTCAAGGATTAATGCGCACCATGTTCGGCGTTTACTCTGAGAATGGAACATATGTATACAAGAAAGGCTGTGAGCAAATACCCTCCAATTGGTACCGCATCCCTGTCGACTACGGATTAGTACAACTCAACCTGGATATTGTTGCTTGGATGGTAGCAAACCCAACACTAGCAAGTGTTGGAGGCAATACCGGTAAAGTAAATACTTTCACAGGTCTTGATATCAGTAATGTCACCGGTGGCGTTCTCAATGTCGAGACCCTTTTGGAGGGCAATAATTTGATGTGCTTTGCCCTTGAAGTTGTCAAGACATTTGGGCCCAATTCTCTTTCGCCTTTGTTTGCTACAGTCGCCGTACCCTTGCAATTATTGACCGATGCTCTTGATACATCAATCTTGGATCTCGCTGGGTGTCCAGCCTTTGCCGATTTAAGTATGGATGGAAAATCATTGTTTGAAGGACTTCAGGATACTTATCCAGGCGCTGCGAAAAGTGGTGTCGCGTTTTAAGGGGTAGAAAGCTGTATTTTAGGGGCTTGGTGCTTGGACATCATTGTTATAATTATAATCTTAATAGCTGCAGCATTGTATAACCGTTTGATTTCTAGAAACGCAGTGCAATCTATCTTCATTCTTGGAACTATAGGATTTCTTTGATGTTCCAAAATGAGGCCTTGCAATTTGCTTAATGTAGGCCGATTCTATCCTATCTTGTGCAGTCCATAATGTTGTTGCAATGTCAGGGCCCAATCTTCCATCTAGGTTGCGGGACCGCAGTTATGACAGTTACAAATAAAGCAAGTAAATTGCATTAATTATATCGTATTCTTCCCTTATCTTTGGTCCTTAGCAATTCTCTTAAAAGATATTTCAAACATAGCAAACACATGGCAGTGTCAAGTACAAAACTAGTGCTTTCAATTAGTTTTTCAATAGGATCTCTGTAAAATCTACTCATCACAAGATCCCAGGACTCAGAGGGACTCATTCTTAATAGATTTGTAAGACAAATTCTATCGATATAACATTTTTTCTGTGGGTTCGACTCTGCAATCATCGCACGTGATAGTGGAATCCTACAAACTTGCCAAATTCTGGTACGAGGGCTTGGGATGAGATAAGGAGCGACCCGCTTCAAAAACTTAGCTTGGCACTCGTAAACGGTCTATATACTGCCATCCTCTTAACGTACTTTACTAGCCTTAATGGTGCGCATCTTAGTCACGTGCCTATGCACATGCGACTCCTTACCCACAAGTTCTTTAGTCGAGAAACATGTCCAATGGCAATAAAGTTGTATAGTTGTATACCGACAGATGATTTGTTTATTGAACTATTGAAAAAAAGTATGTTGCATCCTCTCAAGTACGTACTGTAGTTCTTCAACTCTAACACTTAGTTGAAATAAGCGCCCACAAGTATAAGCGCGACATGTTGGAATCACTCGTCTAATCCTGACGTTGAATTGCATGGCGATGAATGCGCTTGCAGCGATGCGTGCTTTCAAAAGAGTGGCGTTTAAGCATAATTTAGAGGGAAACTTTAAATTAACATATTCACCACTCAGTATAATGAGAAATGGGCTCCGAATTTCGGACCCTTTCATACATATCTCAGAAGGATCCGAATCCATCCACCGCTGTTAAGGACATAGCCGAGACCCTAAAAACGACATGTACGCGCCGACGAGGTAATGCTATGTTTAGATGCATTTTTATTCGAATTAGTTACACTGTGAGGCTGGGGTTGGACAAGCCGTGAAATTATCTCGGTCTTCACTTTGCTCGCGATCGGTGTGGGATGAAATGAACATATATAGGAGGGAGAAGTACCTTGAATATCGCTCCATTATCAGCTCAACTTTAAACATCTTTTAACAAAGCAAGAACTATCTCGTTCTCTATCTGCAAGTCTCAAATTTACAACTTACAACTACAATAGTACCATATTTTCGAAACACTATCTAACACCCCACTAAAACCACCAATATGAGATTCACTACCCCCACCATCTCCATCTTACTCTCCGGATTCTTCTCCAGCCTCGCCATCGCAGATAGTAGCACGTGTAGCAGCATCTGCGCTCACAACAACGACCCCGGTCTCTGGACTGATGCTCACGTTCCTTCTGCCCAAGTAGACTCCATCCTCACTAACGGTGGTGGGTGTGTAAAAGGCAGTGTACAAGGTCACATGTGCATTGCGATTATTGGATCTGAGGAAGATGCCAGCACCGTCGCAGGCTGTCTCGAGCAGATGGCTGCCCAGTGGCAGAGTTATACTGATAATTGGTACTTGTGGAGCTCAATTACTTGTGCTTCTGAGAGTTCGACTGGCATTATTTCTATCACGGCTTAGGTTGGTGGGAAGATGCATTGCAGATATCTTGGGGTTGTTTAGATGAGCATGTGGTCTGGTTGCAGATCGGGAACAAGATCGTTATTTTCATTTCTTTTGGTGGGTTATATGTTTAGATGGAACCTTGGAATAGAGATCGCAGGGCACATATCTGTACAAATTGTTGTGTATGAAATCACAGACTAGGAGAATAGGATGAAGAGGATTCAGGGGAATTGAGAGTTAAAGGAGTTTCATAGATAAATAAAAAATTATGTTTGAAACCCTTTGACTTGTGAACGGAAAGTGACAGATGTTCTGAGGAAGCTGGATCCAAAAGTAGCTTCAACGCTGCCTATGGTTTGTTTACAAGACTCGTAAACTCGCACCGCAACTAAGTCGAAACTTGTCCAGTACTAACAAATTGAATCTGTAATTTCGTCCATTTGATTCCATAGCAGCTTTCCATTCTCTCTTTTCTATTCAAAGATCTTCTCCTGCCCTCGATGCATCGCCATAATTCAAAATACAAAACCACCCTCGTGCCTCGATTGCCAAGTTTCCGTATGCTCCACAAATCCCGAACCAACAAACGTGCAATGAAATACAGAACCAAACATCTTCAACATCGATCGTCACTCTCGAAATTATACCACTATCGAGATTATTATCCTCAGGACTAGACCTTTGTCTCAGAATTCCGCATGTTCCGGCGAGCGAGGAACCAAAACGAAACATGGGGTCTCCTTTTTTTCGTGGCCGCGGGCACAAGTCCGATCGGCCCGGACCGGAATCGCGCAAAGGTTAAATCCTTAGGCAAATAGTCTCGAAGCCAATGTTGTGGTATAGTGAGTAGCATAAGAAGAATACAATCCATGTCCTCTGGAAGGTTTCGTTCTATCTTTTCAGTTGGGCTCGTTTTCATGAAAGGTTGCACAGTCGAGTCTACCGCGTTTATTAACTTCGCCCAACAAGTACTATCTTTTGAAAATGATTTTGGTGACAGGGAGATTTCCATAACGCCCAATGTTTCCCACGAGAAATAGATGAGCTGATAGAGATTGATGCATTATTGATTTTCAATGATGGGTTCATTTGAATAGCGTTTCCTCCAAATTTTGTCTACAATATTCCATGTTTCTTGTTTAACATTCTCCCCCTCAAAAGAGTTCTGCTCGAATAATGCAATGTTAAGCTCATCAACGATGTCTAGACAAAAATTAGAATGAAAAAAACTACGGAACTTCTTCAACGAAAGGTATAAGAAGCGGCCCCACGAAGCCATGAAAATGATATGGATACTGATTGTGAGGTGAGCCAACAGTTCTCCCAACAGCATCATCCCAAGATCTTAGAATTATCAGAATCTTCTGATGAAGGATCGACAATCTCATATTTGTCAACGTAAAACCAGGGAGGATCCGGAAGACTGTCCTTGTCCAATGTCCAATTAGAAACCCATGAAGGAAGACTCTTGGTCTTCAAAGTTGGGTCTTTGACTTCCGAATGATAAAGCACTTCCCATAATCGAGGAGGTATCACTGAAAAGACTACATATCGAACTGCACTCACAAAGACTGCGTTCGCGCTCTTTGCATAATCAATTATCGGAATATTGATCTCTTTGGATTTTAGATATTCGAACTACTCAGCAATGCTCATCATGAATTTTTTTGCTTGAATAGTTCCAAAAAGTTGATCGATTTGGGGCGTGGAACTACCAAGATAGACGACTGTTTGTCGTGCATTACGATAAATTTGGGCCATTAGAGCAACCTGCTGGTTAAGCTCTGGTTACAGTATTCTTCTGATTGATGCAAATCAAGTCAACCCATAATCGGAATGGTTGCGTTTCATTACGTCAAGCCTTCAATGAAGCTGTCAAATTTATAGTTATACAAAACTGATGGCCATTAATATACATATTTTTGGTCTCCTTTGGATTTCACCAAACATAGGAGAGTGTAGTATATGTACTGTTGTAGATACCCATGTGTATTGCTTGAAAAGTGGTATGTATGACGCTGCAGCATATATCGGAGGTAGCGTGTCCAGGATGGAGGAGTATAAGATGAATAGAACCAGACATTTCGAGGTCTTTATGCTCATAGATATTGTTATTAAATGCTAACCATTTCGAGAATCCGGAGCCTTTGAGGTGAGAATTGGTGTTGCTACATCCATTTTTCAAGGAAGATTGCGATGCTTGAAGTTGCAAGATGTAAGGTTGTGACCCATCTACTCGGCGCAGACAATACATGCTGACCAGAGCTCTTTGTGGACGAATAAAGCGACACACCAAATCGCTCAAACAAAGTCATACCTTGGGAACATTCATATTTTTGTACTTTATTTGATGATAATTGGCATTCAAGTATATGATACATGATATAGGATATATAATATATATACCTATGTATGTATATTTGAAACATTGTAGATTTTGTATGTCCCGCCCGGGGTTTCGTCCTGCGGGACTCAAACCGGCAGTATCTTCTGCCTGCTTGGTCAAATCTCAGTCTAATGGGAGATATCCTTCTTTAAAAACACAGCATTCCAATACCAGGATTTTCCTGTTGGATCAACTTTTGGGCCAAACAAGTTTTCCACATTTTTGTAAACTTTGTAACCTCTTCTTTCATACCAATCTTGGTTGGAAAACTAGGTGAAGGTTAGAACAATGCAAATATCTTATCTCCGCAATTCATTCAGATATATTTACCGGAGGAATGACCAAGTCAAGAGCTTTATATTTTTCCTCTCTTTCTGGGTCGACTTTATTAATCGCATTCATACCTAGAGTCTTGGCACACAATGGTTCAGAAATGGCTATATTCTCGATTGTATCTATGGCTGTCTTTCCTAGCCCAGTTCCTTGAAGAGCTCGCGAGACGTAAAAAATGGATATCCAGTAGAACCCTTCTGTCTTTGGAACATATCCGAGATTCAAATAATTTTCGGACGGAGGACCTAAACAGATGTGCCCAATCGGAATGAAAGTTCTCTGAGGTGAGGGAATGTCCCGAAGTATACCTCCAAAGAAATTCGCAGAGTCAACTAGAGGCTCTTTCTCTTGGGGATACATCTCAGAATGTTTGAGTAGCTTGGCATTCTTTTCGGGATCAGAATCCGCAAGCACCTGGATAATTTAGAACTCGGAAAGTGAAATCGATTTGGGGAAGAATATTTACAATCCATTGATTATTGAGCTTTCCGCTTTCTTGAGCTTTCCTCCATGATTCAACGCATTCAGAATCCCATCCGCAAGCGATGCGTTGTTGTACTAGTCGCTCAACATGTTCAGGAGAGGTGGGATCCCAAGGGATTAGCACAATTTGAGCTTTTGAGGAGTTGGTGGGGTCGATTAAAGCCATCTTGAATATCTAAAACATTGCAGAATTGAAAGGGTTGGTAAAAGTATTCATACTTATAAGGTTTCCGCGAAGCCAACTGTTAGACCATATTCTGATATCCGAGGATGATGACTGGCCAGGTCAGGAGATCGAAGACCGCCTTTTGAATAGAATACGACGACAGGTAGTCTCCAACCAAGGGTTAAAGGGCGTGAGAAGACATGAGGGATTTTGTTGCAGGATTTTCTTATCTAGACAGAAGTCTTTAGCTGGCTGCCGTCGCATCGAGACTTTAGCCTTGCTCAATATCTATGGGATATTTCGAAAATTTACATAAGACCTAGCTAGGTATTTATCACGATGTCCCACTTGATAGTTTTCTTCTCTTCTTTCATGTGGACTCACTCGCCGCTATGCTGTTATTCACCCCACATCTAAAGCAGCACCATTTTTTGTACATGAAAGTTGGCGGGGAGGGGCCCGCTTCGCTTCTACCTACACTAGTTTTGACATTCAGTACATATTTTTAAACAAGCACACTCCTCCATCAAAATCAGCCAAATTGGCTTGAAAGTGATCAAGGCCTGATAGTTCAGTGGTAGAATTCTTGCTTTGGGTTTAACATCTAAAATGTAAGAGGTCTCCGGTTCGATCCCGGATTAGGCCCTTTCTTTTGCACCTTTTTGAGAGGACGTGTCGAGAATTTTATGGTTCTTTGTACGTTTTGATGAGGGAGATTGTGAGGACTTTTTTTTTTGCATATTTTTTGCATGGTGTTTTGGAAAATGTTCTGACCAACTCATACGAACTGGAATCTGTTTAAAGTAGTCAGTTTCCGTAGTGATGGCACTATGGCCTAATTGGTACTTACGTCAATTCGTAAGGTGATTACACCTCACAAAGGGCACAACCTTTATTATTCTAGCTTTCTTTAGTCAAAAAAACAACACAATGGACTATACCCATAATTCAACTAATTCACTTCCCACTGTGACCATATTTTAACAGAATCTGTCTATTATTATTGTTATTTACGTAGCATTTATGTATCGGCTTGTGAATCTGCTCAACTGTTTAACAAAAATGAACAGGCACATCACGTTTTCGAGTCGAGATCATTTGAAGGCTAACTAACTAATTAATTGATTGATTAACATCAAGGCGGTTTGGAAAGAGGGAAATTGTAATTTCAATTCGACTGTGAAAATGAAGCTATTCGCTTATCCATCAAAAATGAAGGGGTTTCTTTATAAGCCCAACGTTACTTAGATTAGATATTGATTTAATTATAAATTTCTATCACAACTTAGAAGAATGTAACTTTTGCAAGTTGGAGATTATATATGTATAGAATTGTCTAATTCCTCACGACTTCAGAACAACATTGCTGGATTACTGAACAAGATCCAAGTGAAATCTTGAGAAGCTTAGTTAGTTAGTGAGCTAAAACTTTGTACATGGGGAAGCAAAGGTTGCGGAGAACTGTGAGCGTGCAGAGTAGGCTGGAGCTAAATATTATCAGCAAACTACTCTCCGCTTGGTAGATATAATCATTCTAGCTCGGGATGCGAGAGCTGCTCATTGATTTCTAAGAGCTAAGGATACGGTCTGATATAAGGAAGGGTAGTTGAGCAGAAAACACAAAGTTGCGTTCCGCGATGTAGGGGTAAACACGGAGGGAGAACATGAACAAGATGCTCTATACGATTAGGATACTTCGGAAAAGATTACAGGAATCAAGATTCAACGGGAGATTTGCTGTGACTGAAAATGAATGATTATCAACTCGGGCTAAAGTCCGATATGTTCGCATTACCTCGTGTATAAAATAGTGCGGTGAAGTGATTCGCCATGTCCGAGTAACAATCAATTAATATGGTATGGACGAGATCGCATTGTAACTCAACCGTTGCTCCGGGCTCGAGAAGAAGTCAAATCCCATCAGGCTCAAGCAGTGGCTTGTATGGAGAAGTCCATATTCCTTCTGGTGGGACATCGTCTATTGCCTCCATGCCTGGTTGATCAACTGATGATCAGAAGTTATTGAGATGATTCCGTAAAGCTGTCAGCCATCAAAAGTATGATCAAATAAAGATGATTCGATTGGTCGACCATTTGCGCTCCCTTGCCTTTTCTGCGGCGCCTTAACCAGTCTTTGGTAGATAGCTGCCATGCGGATGTGTGCTCTCATGAAGGTTTCAACATTGAGTTCCCCAAATGTCAATAACCATCGCAGATATAGCTCAATTACATATACCCTTGGATCAAAATCAAGGCCTCGAAGTAAAGTTCTGGATCTTTTGGCACTAAACACTGGCAAAGGGTAGATCAAAATCTTGAGAGATGTAGTACTAAATTCTACATATCTTTGTTCCGAGACTAAGACGGGATGCTTGATCTGAGGTAGTAAAAGAGGCATCATCTACCTCTGATAGTATTTACCCCAGGATTTGAAATCCTGGGAATATGGATGGCCAATTCATAAATTGTCCGACAGCATGCATTCGAAAAGATCAAAAGACCACGATACCTAAGTACTTGCCTCGATACCACGCATTACCTATTCAACGGCGTTGTATGTGTAATTTTAGACCAATTTTGGGTGAAATTCGTCTGAGAATAATTAAATACCATCATACACAAGTAATCATAAACTGACAGCGGCGTCAACGGCGTAGAACATTTATTCCCCGTCCTCGCTTCCAGAGCTTTCTTTCTTTCTTTCTTTACTCATCCCTCTTTTCTCCGGCCCCAAACTCCGGAACGTCATAACCACCACCACACCTAAATAACTTCGCCATCCATAAATAATACAACCTAAACACAACCTAAACACAACCTTTGCATTCAACAACCATTTACCATCTGTCACAATCGATCTTGATCAAAAAATATCACAATTATGGCCTTCACCATGCGCCAACCATTCAAATTAACCAGTTCGCTGGCTATAGCGTCCAAAACTGCCTTTAGATCCGCCCCCGCGCGAGCTTTTCATTCCAGCAAACCTACCACCAGTTTTTTCACATCGCGCACCACATCACCAGTCAGCACACTCGTAAAAGCTAGAAATGCAATTAAGGGCTCGAGAACTTATTTGCAGCCACCGGCGACTGTTGCGAATCCAAATGGAACGCTGATGCAGAAATTGTTGGTCGGTGGTGCGATGTTTGGAGGAACTTTGTTTGCGATCAATATGGTATGATACCTTCTTACCTACTTCTTCTCCACATTCGCTATCTCTTTCATCTTCATATAAGTAAAGAATACTAACAACAACAACAGGTCTTCAACCGCGAAACTCGTGAAGATGGCGGCATGCCCGAATACGAACGCAGTTACCTAAACGATACCTTTATGCACACAGGAATGGGAATTGGAATCATCGGATTATCTGCGCGCGCCATGTTCCAAAGTGGCTTTACTTACAGATTGATGGCGACTAATCCTTGGGTTGTCATGATCGGTGGCATTGCACTCAGTATTGGTACTATGATGGGCACTAGAGCTACAGATCCAAGCAAGTGAGTTTTGCCCCTCATTTCATATTGATATCTAGAATTATGCGACATATATTTGAATGAAGACAGAAAACTAATATTCAATAGCTATGTTCAAAAATACGCACTCTGGACCGGTTTCAACGTAACCCAAGCTGCATTCGTTGCACCCCTCCTCTTCATGGCCCCTCCTGCCATCATCGCCCGCGCTGGTCTCTACACCGTTGCCATGATGGGTAGTATTTCCTTCGTCGGCGCAACCGCCAAGCAAGAAAAATATCTTTACCTCGGTGGACCTCTCTTGGCTGGTGTTGCTCTCGTCGCTGTTTCCGGATTGGCTCCCTTGGTTCTCCCAGCTACCGCAGTCAGAACATTGGCTTTTACCGAAAACATCTGGTTGTGGGGAGGTTTGGCTGTCTTTGGTGGCTTCACACTCTATGACGTACAGAAGATCTTGGCACATGCTAGAATGGCTGAGCGAGGAATGATGAGGAGAGATGCGGTTAATGAGAGTATTTCATTGGAATTAGATTTCCTGAACATCTTCATTAGGATGGTACAGATTTTGATGATGCAGCAAAACAGGAGGAAGTAGAGGAGAAAGAGTTGTACAATGTGAGAGGTTGGGGCAAGGGGGGTTGGAACGAAGACACAATACCGTGGCACTACGTGGTAAAGCAGACGGAGGTTGTCCTAAAAAAACAGCTCTCCTCTTCGAGATTGGATGATAGTTACGAAAGTCTGCGGACTTTTCTGCCTTACACGCTTCTCCTCTCCTTTGGACATGCGCACTTGATGCGTGTGCCATTAACATATATTAATAAAACAAAACAAATGTTAAAATAGTAAATAGTAAAATAGTAAAATACCCATATTCAGTTATTCTGTTATTCAGTTATTCAGTTATTCAGTTAATCATTTATTCATTCGCATTGTATCTTTGAAAACATCGAAATGATTCGACAGATTGGAGTGCTTTGAGTAGATCAATGAGAGTTACCTACCTAAGCACTTTAAGTTTTCCCAATATACATTCATAGATTGAACGCCTTCAACTACCTACCTACCTATCTGCATAGAAAGCACATCACATCTCTCCCTCCCTCCCTCCCCCTCTCTCTCTCTTCTAGTACCATAAACCAATCACGATTCATCACACAAATCACATCCAGCCCATCCACAAAAATCCCAAAGCCACCGCAAAATTCCAAAATAACTCCGTCCCCAGCCAGCTAGTCATGTATCATGCATACCTACCTAATGAACAATGCAATAGTAGATATGCACCTAGGTAGATAGATGTAGATGAGGAAATTCTATACATGCCTGGGTATGCTCGCATCTATTCATCTCTATTCACCTCCTTGTGCGCTTCTATCATATCATATCATGACATCTTATCATCTCATTTCACCTCATATCATTTCACCTCTCTCATCTATTTTCATCTCAAATCATGTATCATTTCGTTTTGTCCTATAGAACAAGACCAGATCCGATCATATGACATCAGATGTAGACCCGATAATATCAAGTATAGACCCCTTTCCTCTCTCCCCCTCTTCGCACTTCTCAACTCAACCCTTCTCATCCTATGCCATCCATCCCATGCCAACCCTTCTTTCCCCTACCATCCAACTCCTATTTCCACAACCTACGATTTCCATTTCCGTTTCCGTTTCCGCAACGTTATACATACATCCATACACCCATCCATACATACAAGAAACACAAAACACAAAAAAGTAATGATAAAAAAATCTAAAAACCGCGCCAATCCGTTCATTCATCGATACATACATACATACAAATATGCGAACAAACCAACAAACCAACATACATACACCACCACCGTCAAAACAACAAAAAGAGCGCGTTCGTTTCGACCAAAAAATGACCTCTGGATTGGTCCTAACAAGCGATTCATGTGGATAAACTGAATAAAAACTCCGTCCATGCATGCAAATATGTCATATTCTCGAGAGTATGCATATAAAAATCGACATCGATGAAAAATCCCACTGTTTCCTTTTCTCCATGTTCTGTTAAACCCTTTCTCGTCAAGATCCATCATCGTAAGCCAACGTCCGGTCCACTCCTCTTCTCAACCCAAAAGACCAAATCTCCCCTTCCCTTCCGTACACTTAAATTTCTAGGCATCACTGCCCCCCTCAAACCTCTCCTCCCTACAGTCTCCCTCCTCCCACTCTGACTCCATCTCGACTTCCATTTTTCGATTCCTCCTGCATCCAGCCACCCCTTCAAATTCTTACACTGACTTACGTCAAAGATTTCTAACTTACTACAACCTTCTACTACAGCTTCCACCCCTACCCCCGTAACTCTCACACACCCTCTTACAGAAAGTTCTTTGAGTTCGAGAAGATGGAGACCGATAGATCGAAGCGATGAATCTGAGACTGCCGAGCCGCAAAATGAGAGTTTGAGGGATTGGAGTTGGGGGCAACCAAGACTTAGAACTTCGGTTGCGGTGTCCGAGAGGGCGCAACAGAATGACTAGATATGACTATTAGTGAAAACATTTTAGGGGGTCGCGAAAGCTCAAAATACCAAATCTAGTTCCTTTAACCCCTTCGCCGCGTTCGTCAAATAAACAATAGCATTATCCGTCAAATAAGTACAATCCGCCAAAATTAACTTTTCCAACTTTGCAAATTTATAAATGCTCCAATGTTGAAATCCACTATCTGTAATCGTTGTACATCTCGTCAGATCAATACTCTGTAGCCTCTGGTGTGCATGAACAGCCAGATGCGCCATCGATCGATCAGTGACATGTTTACAATATGATAAAGTAAGACGTTTGAGCTTTGGGCATCCGACTACAGTCCCAACCGGTGGGACGAAAGTTGCAGCTTTTTGACGAAGAGAGGCTTGAGGGGCAATGGGCTCGGTTACAACCCAGCCAACGATACGGGCCAGGAGATTATCGGATACTTTGCGGCAATTAGAAAGGTCTATTTCTTCGAGCTCTTTAGCGCTGTTGGCCATTTCCAAGACGGCGTTGGCAGTTACGTCCCAGGCTGACTTCATTTTCCAGATTTGAATATTGGGGCCACATTGGGAGTAAATTGCAGCAAATCCTTCATCAGTTATATGGAAACAGTTGCTGATGTTGATGCTACGGGCACGACGGCCAACAAATGGACAGATGCATTCGATCAGTGCTTTGTTGGTCATTTTGCGGTTATAGAGTGATAGATCAAGATTTTGACAAACGTTTGGTGAGGTACTTAGGAGAGTTGACCAATGGAGAGATACGAGGCGTAATCTCATCAAATGATAGATGTCTAAATATGAGAAAATGTGGATCAAAATTGCATCCGGTAGTATTCCCTGACTAAATTGACTTGGACGCCGCTCGAAAATCTTAGGTCTTTTTGGCCGAAAAGCTGATTCTGGGGGGGTGATTGCATGTGATAATTTTGCAGGTGTGGGTGTTTGAGATCTAGATCTGGTTCTTGGGCCAGAAGATCTATCATCTGGTGGTGGCGTCTCAGGAGCAGGCGGTGCCCACGAACCTCTTCGGGATCTCGCCCTCATATTGTCCATATCTACACTGAGGAATGGATCTGGGTCTATAGGTTCCATCACCCCACTATCCTCAACACGAATAGGTTTATGAGGACTTGCAGGTTTAGAAGGGGTAAATGTAACTTGTGGCAATGTTTTCCTTCTTTGATGTTTAGGTCGACTGTTATTGATGGTTAAATCATTGATAGTTGGAGATTCGGCATCACTCATTATGATATCTTCGTCTTCGGGTTTTCCAATTCGAGTTTTCGCTGTCAGCTCTACTTGTTTCCGTATATCTGGCGAACATCTTCTCCACAACTCTTCAAGAACTTCTCCACCGATCATCAAACATTCCACAGAAGTGATTGATCGTACAGTGGCTGTTCTCCGGGGAGCTAAAGACAAACTGACAACCTCTCCAAAGTATTGTCCGGCTTTCAGTCTTGGTCTAATGTATGATCCATTTGTGCCTTGAGGCGATAGTCCAGCGTGTCCATTGGAACTTTCATGAATAACTTCCGCCTCACCTCTAACAATAAAGTAAATTTCATTGCCATTTGAACCTTGTACAATGATATCCGTGAACGGTGGGTATGCCTTCGGCGTGGCGCTCAACCCAAGAAAGTGAAGTATTTCTGGCGGCAAAGTTGAGAATAAAGGCAATTCCTTGAGTGTTTTCCTGACATTGACTAATCCACTGCCCAGCGCACTACCAGCCGAAGGATCCTCAATTATGCCTGGACTTGGGGATTTTCGCTTCTTCTTGTTGATGACCACTCCTTTCTCAATGACCCCTACTTCACCAGTAGAAACTTCCCCTGGTGCAGCTTCTCGTGCGATCTTGCCACCTCTAGAAACAAGCTCAGTGGAGACAAGTTTTGGGCCAAACCCGCCTTCCCTTCTTTTCTTATTCAAAATCGTCAATCGTTCCTGTGCCTCTTCCATGATCGCTTGTTCCATTTCTGGAAAGTTTGGAAGCTCAGCTCTCAAATCTTCCTTCTTCAAAACCACCAACAAGCACTTCGTTCTTGCTATAATTGTAGCAGTCCGGGGCACATCCATTAATATTCCAATCTCGCCAAAGAAAGCACCAGGCTTTAATTCTGCGTATGTAGCTTCTCCATCTCGAGATGTGACCGCCACAGCCCCACGTACTAACCAGTACATGGCCTTTGCATCATCTCCTTCAGTCAAAACATGATCGTGAGGCGAATGAACCTGAGGACGAAGATGTTTTCCAATAGCTGCAAGAAAGGAATCGGGAGCTGAAACAAAAAGAGGGAAGGAGCGTATGCGATCAACAAGGTCGAGTGGCATATCTGGAATTGTCGAAGCTGTGAGGGGAGAGGGTCGTACAGGTCGAGCGGGATTGGTTTCGATGTTGAATGATCGGATCAAGGATAACGAGTCTGGAATAGCTGCGCCATGGGCCCTGAAGGAGCCAGCACCCCGTCGACTCCTACTCATGATGTTGTGTGTGTATTTAGCAAGCTACGATCTCGCAGAAGCTCATGTGGGTACCTTGCGGCCTAGTGGCCGTCCTGCATGTAGGTTTGCCAAAGTGGGCAATATCAAAATCGGGGATGATTGATTACTTGGAGCGATTGTCGTTTTGCAATTCGCAGATTCACTGGTTTCGAATACCACACTCGAAGAGGGTTGGGGAATTCGTGGATTGCAGTTCAGGATGTAAATGTTCTCGTGGAGGAATTGCGATATGTACAAGAGATTTAATTCAGATTGAAAATTTCTTTGTCTGCAGATAATATAACGCGTAGAAGTATCGTCGGACAAGTCTGTGATGTATTTGGTCAGCTATTATATACATCGTTAACGGCATTGGATACCTATATGAAAGATATCCAAAAAGCTGGGCGGGCGGACGGCACACGATGTTAGAATAGATGGCTTACTATTGCTTTCCTAGGATCATATAACTGGAGGGGTAAGAAAAGTTACCTTTCTAAGAATCTTTCTTCAATGAAGCTGACAACGCACGAACAAGATGAGAGAGTAGAACATGAGGTAAGAAATAGAAACCATCTACAATCACGGTGAAGGAAAGACAAGATCAATAGGACTTTGAACGAAAGTATAATGCACGGAGCGCTCTATGATCGACGAGCTCTAAAATGGAAATGGAGCATGTATTTGGTTTGGCTCCTAGCACTCAAAGACCCTTAATCACCAATGATTGAGGGGAGAATTCGATTCGACTGGAGGAATTCTAGGTTGGGGATTTGGGACGGTCTCTTCTTTTTTCTGTCCCCCTTTTCTCGCGAAAGACTCTTGATCAGTGAGAAGGGATTACAATAGTGGGTGTATTGATGTATGTATGTATAAGTGTGTGGTTGGAGTGAATGAGAATGAATAATGATACTGGTAGTTTTTTTACTTGATTGCTCTCTTTTGCCTTTTGGTGGGCTGCTACGCGCTATGACGATTTCAATTCGCTTCTTTTTCTCTCTCTCTCCAACCACTTTTATTAGGCCTTTCCGGGGGGTTTACTAGGGACTTGGGTAGAGAGAGAATGATTACATTGTCCATCGTCCATCGTCCATCGTAGAGTGGTAAAAGATTCCTTTGCTACGATGTCGATGTATCATATATCGTACTAGGTAGACAAGAAGCAACGGATTCCCTGCAAAGAGATCAAGATGAACATATTTTCTGTTCGGAGAATTTTCTAATCTTAATTGAACCTAGTGTTTACCTGGGTAGGTAGATGGGTAGTAGATAGGTAGTAGATAGGTGGTAGATAGATAGTAGATAGATAGGTAGGTATCTGTATCTATCTTTATAGAATCAAGGGGAAATCAGAATGTTGAAATGGCAATATCAAAGTGTCCATTCTACCTACCTAGGACCTAGATACTATGTATTTGCATTCTCCTATTGTAACCAGTCTACTTGCTAGATACCTAGTACTCAGTAGTTATGAGGTTAGTACCTTCCAAGGGAGTAGGTCGTACATACAATCTTCGCCTCTTCGCCTCTTCGCCTCTTCGTATAAAAACTCTTCCTTCATGGATCATTTGCCCACTCAGACATACCTAGCTATTCTTCTCACTATCCGCCAGTCAATCTTCAGCTCTGTCGTTTTGTCATCATCCACAATCCCATCATCTCGTCGCCCCATAGGTTTCAAATCCATCTCGCGGTGAGAATATCCAAGAAATGCATTCAGGGGTCTCTTCGTAAGCCAACCCAGGTATCCATGGCTTGTAAGACTTGTAAGCCTAAATCGCTTACCATGCATTCCTCTAACAAAAGCAGATTGACTTCTTCCATCTCATCTTCTAGAAGCTTAAAGTCAGTGGTTCTTCAGCCTTACATATGTATCATTACTCCTGCCGAGGCATGCTACCGGGAATGAATCCATAGAATCCCACCAGATGATACCAAATACATTCATATTTCCAAGGAACTTTTCATGCGTATATCAGGCAAAATAGATCAGAGATGAAATCAAATGATATAATATGATATGATATGATATCTTTTTTTTATTTCTCTCACTTGCATATGTCTGATACCAGTTAGGTAAGATTACATGATACATATAATCGCTAATAGGTGCTTCGGAAGAGACGACGACGACCTTTAAATAATCCATGCTGCATCAATTCACCTATTTTTATTACGGATGTATCTCCAACCGAAAAGGTGCTTGATGGGTGCAACATCAGAAATAGACTTTTTCCTTCATCATCTCCTTGTATCATCAGATGTCAACCATAAGAACCGTTTTGATGTGATACTACTTTAAGATCATGTTCGCATGCGACGCGACATGTAACTTTCATCCCTCATTCATTTCGCCCCCATTCAGCAGTTTCCCGATTTTCGGAAAAGGGGAACTTTAGTTGTGTAAATCGATCTTTTTTCCTTTTGCAATCAACGTTATCTACAGAAAATCCCCGTCTATCATGTCTCAAGAAGCCTGGCACGTACGTAGGTAAAGATCTCTTCCACGCGAAGAGAAATGTTTCAAGCACTCTTGTCAAGCGAACAGCCTATATCCCAATTGGTCTACTACACCTTGTCAAAAATCAAAAGATATTAAAGGAGATCTGCAGGAACTCATAAGGGAAGTTCGATTCGGACCGTCCCTGATATAATGGAGATTATCGTCTCATTCACATTAACATCCGTTTCCGCGAACCTGCGTGCGGGACTCCAATCTATCGCTTCGTTTCATATACTTCGATATCTCTTCCATGAACTCCAATTTTCATTCATACTACAGTAGTATTGTTTCACGGCATGAACAAAAAGGACCAAGCGGAAAGCTACTGCTTGAGTGGAGTCAAGAGAGTTGCAACCGTCATAGCGAGATCGGAGTGAGGCATTTGGCATTTGGAATTCGGCTTTGTGGCGCATCTGTGAGACTTGAGGCATGAAGTCTTCTTCTTCTTCTTCTCCTTCTTCGAAGCGAAGTGTAGATTTCCGAGAGCGAAACGTGGTGTTCACACCTTAAAGTGCGCATCCATCACCTCTATTTTGGTGGTACAATATCTTGACGTATGTGGCTAGAGATGCAAAGAGCTCTTTTGAGCTCCTTTGAGCTTTCATCCTTACCTAGCAGTTCTAGTCTGTTAGAGATTGTCGAGCTTGTGCTCTTCCAGGTATTTTTAATTCCTCATTTGAGGTTATCGTGACCGCAGTTGTCATGTTCAGTCAGATCTCACAGATATTTACTTACAGTCTCTTTGAAATCAGAATCCCATGGCGGTCAACCATAACAGGAAGGTTGCCACAAGATTTGGAATAATTGCGTGCTTGCACAGCTATCAGCATGTGGAATCAATTAAACTTTCCAAGCTTTCCTATTGGACAAAGTCGTGATTTGTCAGATTCGTTGAAGCTTGGGCCAGCTTTTTCTTATTGTTCAACCCCTCCATTGACCATGACGACTTGATACAATTGCCACTTCAGATTTGCTTATATTGATACGTATATCCTCAATTATCTTTGCGCATACCTACAGTACGAATCTTTATACAACAATCATACCACTGAATCCGAATAAACTCCTCAGCACCCATATTAGAGATCTTCAATAATCTCAAATCCTACAATCTGCCTTCCCAACCTATCTCTTTCAAACTTTTCCTCCTCCTCATTTTCCTCACAATAATGGCAGCCATGCCCAATTTCCTCAACCGTCTCATCCGGCCCTTCACATCCTCCTCCTCGCTCTCTGTCACCCCCGCCGCATCACAAGTATCCGTTCCTGAAACCGCGCAAAAATGTACCATTGCCGCAGGTTGTTTCTGGGGCGTCGAACACATGTATCGCAAAGAATTTAGCGGAAAAGGCTTGTACGACGCGCGCGTTGGATATATCGGAGGCGATACCGAGAATCCTAGTTACAGAGCCGTGTGTTCCGGTTCTACTGGACGTATGTTCTCTTTCTCTCATCTTTGTTTTCTCTCATAGTAATTTATACTAATACCCAATTTAGACGCAGAAGCCCTTCAAATCCACTACGATCCTGCACAAATCACTTACCGCCAGTTAATAACCTATTTCTACCGCATGCACGATCCCACAACTTCAAATCAACAAGGTCCAGACAGGGGCTCTCAATATCGATCTGGAATCTTCTACCACAATGAAGAACAAGAGAAAGAAGCGCGGGAAATTACTAAGCAAGTTAATGAGAAATGGTGGAAGGGAGGTGTGGTCACAGAAATTCTGAAGGCGGGAGAGTGGTGGGATGCGGAGGCGTATCATCAGAAGTATCTGGATAATAATCCAGGTGGCTATGAATGTCCAAGTCATTTTGCGAGGAAGTTCCCGCCGTTGGAGGACTAGTTTGTGATGGAGGGAAGCGGAGGGGATTCAACATGATAGATGGTGGAAAGATTGATTGTTTGCGAGAGGAATGCGAATTGAGTGTATTATACTGAAAGATTTTAATTTTGCAACACATACATACTACTTCGTCATCGCAGAATGACTACTTTTTTGAAATATTTGGAAATCTTGTTTTGAACAAGGTATCATGTATGGAAACCACGGTATCGTGGGCACAGGATTTATTTCAATAAAGCAGATTTCGGGATACTTGAAACAAAATAAAAGAAACCGCAACTCGCGTAAATCAAGGAGCACGAGCGAGTAGAATGCATCCTTCTCGGTTCGTCTCCTGCATTCAATACTTAATCATCTTATCGAATAAGTTTGAGGTGCAAGATGCGAAGTGTAAAGTGCTCGAACTCAGATATCGAAATGATACCTACTAGGTAGGTATTTGATAATTCGCACAAGAAGATATATGTATCACTTTGGGATTTTAGTCATTGATTTCCTATTTTTGGTTGGTTTGTTTGTTTGTTTGTTCTATGATATGATATGATATGATATGAATATATAGAATGTGATGGGCTGTGATGAGATAGGATGGGAATATTCCTTGGCCTAAAGTATCTCTCTTACTCTTGCGATTTGTGATATCTGGATTTAGATAATTAGATAGATGAAATTTCTGATATGTTCAGACATCTTGGTATGTTACTCGTAGAAATACCTAGGTATGGTTGTGGTTATGGTTAGAGAGGAATCTTATTAGTTGCTTTCGCTTTGGCGGGGGTTTTCTCGCTTGATTGCTTCTCCGCTTGATTTTCGGGGGTGGAGGGAGAGGGAGAGGGAGAGTGAGATAGGATCTTTAGCACGTTGGTTGATCGTAAGTCGTGGTAGGTGATTTGTAAATTGTATCTCTACAGAGCGAGACTTGCACTCTGATATCCTGATTATGTTCTGGGTTTTGCTGGGGAATTTGTATTTGTATAACGGTGATGTTGTTTTAGGCTGAGACATTAATGTAATCTGTTGGATTGAATGGTGTTTGGTTTGGAATTATATATCTTGAACTTGCCTCGTGACATGATAATGTGGATTTCCTGTTCAAGGGATTTGGGATGCTTTTTGTCTGTATCAGGATGCTCTTCTAATTTGTAGCTTCTTGATTCATAAGACTTGGACGTCCCGCCCTCTTTGGTGCCGTGAAGTACTACGGCAATTCCTCCCACGCATCTTGTCATGAAGACTTGTCTTCCGTGTCACTATCCCTGATCCTCATGTCTTGGATGTCATCAACTTCAGTGTTATCGATTAGCTCTTAGTGATTAATAATGAAAGTTGCCCGTTAGCAGATGACGTTTCTGAAGCTCCTTTGATAGACTTTTTTGGCTTCACTAGAAGATTTACAATGGATGTAAATGTACGTCACTGCTCCGAACGAACTGAAACTACGCAAGAATCGAGTAATCTTCCATCAATTCCTATGATGGACTCGAGCTCTGTGAATCAATATTGAGTATGAGGGCCCGTTTGACTGCCAATACAAGCGCGGCTTTTCCTCCTGATTATATCTTGAAAATATATCAGCAGTCTATAATCGATTGAATGGTGAGGAAGGAAAGGAAAGACAGCGTTTGATAATTAGGTGGGCAATGATAGTGATAGTGGAGCACGCGGAGAGACGCTAATGCACACAGATAAGCCCTACGGAGTCCCTGATCACGTGGCACTGTCATGATTATGTCCAAGCTTGTTGTTGAATTGAAATGGAAAACCTAAGGCAGCAAGCATAATTGAGCTCTTTCCCTTCAAATTGATTCGATAACTTACGAACTCCCTACTCCCCAAATAACCAGATCTTACCTTTTCCTCACGAACCATGGATCCTGGACGAAGAGCCATGTTGGAAGGTCGCGCGCCTCGGGAAAGAGATATCACTTCTCCACGTCGCGACGATGCCAATCGAGTTTCAAAACCACAACGACCGGCAGGCAACTCCAATTCTAGGCCTTATCGCAACAACCAAAGTTTCGAAGACGAACAATCAAAAAAATGGTTAGCAGAAGAGGATACGTTCGTTCTAAAGCAAGCAAAGAAGAAGGCAGACATCAGAGTTCGAGAAGGAAGAGCGAAACCAATTGACTGGTTGGCGGTCATTCTTCGAGTGATCGATCCCGATAAAGATCTCCTTGATGCCGATGAAGAAGAGGTTCAACTCGATGTTGTAGACCCAGAGGGTGTGTTTGAAGGACTTGATGATGGGCAACTAGGAGACCTGGAGACCGACATTAATTCTTACATTGCTTTGGAGAAGAACAAAAAGAATCAAGATTATTGGAAGACGATGCAAATCATCTGTCATGAGCGCCGTCAGAAATTAAAACCAGTCGGCCCTAATGAACGAGCCGTAAGCTCTGTTGCTGCAGATGTGGACAAACTACTAGGACCCAAAACATATGAGCAGCTGGAAAGTCTGGAGGGACAGATTAGGGCAAAGCTCCGTTCGAACGAACCAATAGATACGGATTATTGGGAACAACTTTTGAAGAGTTTATTGATTTGGAAGGCGAAAGCTAAACTAAAGAAGGTGTACCAATCTGTGCTGGACACTCGGCTCGACGCCTTACGAAGAGAACAACAGGAGGAGGCAGAAAGTGTTCAAAAGAAGTTACGAGTACTATTGTCTGGCCCAACGCTAGTGGTTGAAGAGGGATCCGAAATACCAAGTTCAATCGCCGCGCAAACATCTCGTCGTCAGCCTCACTTTGCATACTCAGAGAAGCATGACCCAGAACCGTTACTCAAACTACGGACTGAAGACAAATCTGGCGAGATTATTGACGAATCTGATTTCCTCAAAAAGATCGTGGCCGAGCGCCGCAAAGTCTTGAAGCTAGGTTACGTGCCTTCACGTCCACTTGGTCCAGAGAAGAGTATTCCAGGCTCCATCAGTAAACCCATCACATCTGTCAACAATGCGCCTCCAGGTACACAGCGCTTTTCCGCCGTAGTCACTGAAGATTTCTCACAAGCTACAAAAGCATTGTACGATAGAGAGGTGGCAAGAGGGGTAAATGAGAATGAGGAAATCTTCACGGCGGAGGAAAGTCTTACAACGACTTCGGCTCCTCAATGGGCAGATAAATACAGGCCAAGGAAACCGCGATATTTCAATCGAGTTCAAATGGGTTACGAGTGGAACAAATACAACCAAACTCATTACGACCATGACAATCCCCCTCCAAAAGTCGTTCAGGGTTACAAATTCAACATATTTTATCCCGATCTCATAGATAAAGCAAAGGCGCCAACATTTCGAATCATTCGGGAACATGGTCGAAAGAGAGGAGAATCATTTGCGCCTGCTGGAGAGGAAGATACGTGTCTACTTCGCTTCATAGCTGGACCTCCTTATGAGGACATTGCCTTCCGTATTGTCGATAAAGAATGGGATTATTCTGCGAAGAAAGATCGTGGCTTTCGCAGTACTTTTGACAAGGTATGTGTGTGGCTGTAATGTTCTGTTGTTCTGCATCTTGTCTACCCGTCATGCAGTGACAACCTCCAAACCTTACTTCTGTTTCTGAAGCTTGTTCCTTGCTGACATATTCATCAGGGTATTCTCCAATTACACTTTCAATTCAAAAAGGTCAGTAACAATCACAATAAAACCAAATATTCCCACTTTTTAAACAAAGCTAATTTGCCATTTAGATATACTACCGAAAGTAATCACGATTTCGCGAGTTTCCTGCTTGCTCCATTGTGGCACCAGAGTTTGGGAAGTATCAATTTGGTTGAGATTTTTCTTTGGCAATCATTGAGCTCACAAATAAACATCCCCAGATTTCTTCCACGTGTGTTATATCACACAAAGAAACTTTGTACTTCCGTCAAAAATAATACTACGTACATGACGGCAACGATTCGATGCATGAGAGCAGCGTTAACACGGGAAAATGAAATGAGATCATCAAAACTATCTATACATGGAAGCATTAAGACCGGGAAATACAATTGAGATTATTAACATCCTTTGTGTATCTGATGACCTTTCTTAAAAGCTTTAATAGTAATAATTTGGAACTATCGGCACAATTTTTTACCAGCGACGGAATGGTATCTAACGGTTAACTAGACCTTTTTCTCAATGCAAAGTAGCTGCATTTTCAAACTTGACACAAAACTCCAGTTCGGCTTTCGTTCGTGGGTATCGCTAAGATTGCTGGTTGAGTAAGTCGAAACGGTTTTACGGGTGGCTGATTTCCACACAGTCCAGTTACTTCAAACAAAAACATCTCTGTGTTCCTTCTAGAATAAGAATCAAGAACAATTGAACCAGACAATTCTTTGTGATTGTGCCCGCTCGAGGCTGACGGTGAAACATTGGAATACTCTTCTAGGTTTAAATTCAAACAATGCCTCTCCTGGCACAATCTTTAGCGTTATGCAGCAGCCCGTTTTCCTCTCTTCCTGTATTACCTGGATATGCAGACCTACAGCCCACCTATTTACAGCAGAACAACAAGCGATTGCTATTATGAAAAGGTCATTGTAGAGCTCACACTGTTTTTGGAATGTTGCTGTCCGGGGAGCCTGTTTGCACACACGTCAAAGGCTTGCATCCATGTGCTGGCATTCGCTCTCCTGCATTATGACCTTGTCTTTTCAGGACTCTATGCCCATAGTCACAAAGCTTTCAATGATCCCACTGCTTCTTACGTTCTAGATTTCCTCTTTTGAATAACTGCACCCGAAGTCCTTTGCTATCCCAACTCTTTGAATTCTCCGAGAAGACAGACACTATCGTCTTACAATAGAGCAATCCATCTTAAGGGTAGCACTTCGTTCAATAGACACATCATAGGCAGCGAGGTTGAGTGAATTGTTTTCAGATGGTCCTCAATATGGATTCCGATCACTTTCAACAGAATTCTCAACACCACGATTTGCCTTGGGACTTTCAAGCTTCGGAGAATATTGGAACAACAGCAAATTCGCAGGCTGATGCTATATTCCCATCATTTGATGGTCTGCCTCGAATAGGTCAAGAGCAGTACTTTATGGCTAGTTCATCGTCATCTCCTATGCCCAATAATGACTATAACCTTACTACATCGCAAATGCCGGGCTCTCAAAACTTAACATCTTGGTCCCATCAAGCGCCATTAGATTCTGTTTTTGCAGGTGACCAAAGTGGTTACTCTTACGATTGTCCAGCTGATCTTCCTGGTCTTGAACAACAAAATTCTTTGAAAGCTTTCGATAATGTTCCTCGAACTACCTGGCAACAACCTTATGCTAATATGGGCATGACATTACCGGTATATCCATTTGATACTCGCGACAATTTTGGATCTATGGTAGCATCGAGGGCTGACCATGGCGAAAGATCCGACGATTGCATCATGATGGATACCACGCACAAGGCCATCAATTCTACATCTCCTTCCAGCTTATGCTCTGAAGAAGATGGACACAGCTCGCGCGAACCTACTGCAATAGATGTCGACGCTGATGGTCATGGCGCAGATGAGCAGCCATATGCAAAATTGATCTATCGAGCATTGATGAGTGCACCAGACCACTCCATGGTTCTACAAGAAATCTATCGTTGGTTCAGAGAAAACACTACTAAAGGGAGCTCGGATACCAAAGGTTGGATGAATAGCATTCGTCACAATCTATCAATGAACGCTGTAAGATTCTATGATCAAGTATGCTCAGCGATGCTGGGGCTAATATTTCCAATGACAGGCATTCAAAAAGACAGAACGGAAGATTCCTGGAGAAGAAACGAAAAAATCCACTGAGTGGGTTTTGGAAGATTTCGCAATCAGAGATGGAGTTCAGTCTACAACTCGGTATCGCAAGGGGACAGGCAACAAGAAATACGCAAAAGCAGAAAGCACTCCAAGTCAGAACTATCTAGATCGACACAATTTTAATGCGATTAGAAAGCCTTCCTTTCACTCTGCTGGCAAGGGAAAGTTACAACGTCAAAGAGGCAGAGATGATTCAAGTTCAAGACGAATGCTCTCAACGCCCTCTAGATCTGAACCGGCAAGATATCCAGGTAGCCAATTCCATACCTCAGATGTGACTTCTGTTCCAAGATCTCCACGACGACTACCTCTGACACCTGTCCCAGAGAGCTCCGGAACTTACAGCCCCGTCATCAAAGAGGAAAACTACAATACTGCATACGATCTATACAGATTTGAGGATTGCCAAGGAGTGCTTCCCGATGACCAAGACCCGCTTTTCATGGACAGTCAAAACCCACAGTTCATGCAAGTTCATCCGATGTGCGCGAGCAACCAATACTAACCATGAAAATTTGTTGGAGGACAGAGTATCAAAGTGTTTGTTATGTATCGTAAGGGTGGCAGATCTGCTTTGATACATCGAATAGATGCACGTTTCGTTTGCTATCAAAACACTGCATTGCTGGGGGTTCATTGTATGTACTGGGTTCTAATGTTGCGGTTCCTTGTCTATTTGCTATAGCTTGTCTGGAGGGTAATTGTCTAGGATCTCTAATTTCTTTGATCAACGGCATCAGCGGCAAAACTTCAAATATCATGAGCGTTTGTATGTAGGGGTATGCCAAAGTTGTTTATCATTATGATGGGTCATATTCTTGGTGTTCTTCAGAATTTTGAAATGTTGTGTGCTTCGCATGAGAAATGAGGTCTTCATTCCGGGTAGTGGTTTCCATGCTCTTCTGCATCGGCTATATGCTTAGATATCATCATTTTCCCTGCAGTATGAAGTAGGATTGATCAGTATTGCCTCTTTGCCTCTTTGATCTGCTCGAGGGCAGGGGATGTAGGGTTCGATTGCCTCAAAGTACACTCCTCAACAAGAATTCCCGTGATTAAAATGAGGTTAAAATGCATCACCCCACCGATATCCTGGGAAATTTGTTGGTTAGATTCTATGCGGTGGCCCCGCCGGATGAAAGTGCGCGCCATCCTTCAATCCAGTAAACCCATAAGCATGCAGCCTACTCCACTATCCAAAGTCCAATGGACGGTCCTTAGCATTGTTAGCGTTCAAAAGGACCTTGTCCCTGTCTGTATATTGTAACCACACCTTGCTTCGGAGATGTTGAAAATGTCATCGAAATCCTTCTTCGTAGTGTATTACGTATCTACCAAGATACATCTTTACCATTACCATGAGCCTATGCTAATAAGTGTACGCTTCTTCGAGCACAGCGTTTCCATCACGAGTTCTTCATCTTGATTCTCAGCTCCAGGAACCGGGCTACTGGACCACGTCCTACTAAGTGAATCCCTCGACGGAATCGAAAATCGAGCTCTGTTACAACATCAGATGGCTAGGAGCTCAACTACAGTACGACTTCGAAAGGAGATACACACCATTCGACATGCAGAATATCCATAATACGCCTCCGTCTCGAATCAAGTTCCATTTTCGATCAAACAGAACGTTCCGAATTTTCTGGTGTTGGTGACAGGTATCATTGAAAGCCACACGAGTAAGATACCGGTTTCGCTCTTGCCAACATGCACTCAAACCGATCAGGAACCCAAAAGAGGGATTGATCGTGACTATCGGCGAAGAATAATCCTTTTGATGTCATTCAGAAATGTTTTGACGAAAGAAACAGCGCGCCAAGTCCACATAATGACTGTTGAGAAGGGAGGCGTGCAGAGGCAGCAGCCACAACGGCTTTTCGAAGATTACAAAACATGACACTTCCCGCAAATATCGGGCCCCTGAGGATTCTTTTCTTCCTCATTACAGGCATCAAGGTCTGAGCCGTTAATATACAGTATACCTGTTTGCTCTATCTTGTCATTAGGATTCTTTTCCTGTGCATGCGCCCATCATGAGCGCAGACCTCAATATGATGAAAAATTGTCTTAACGCTCTGCATTTTCTCTTCCGCAATATGTCAGGAGCTTATTTTCGAATCAACTGGCGACTCGGATCAGTTCCATTCATACTTTTTTTTTTACCACAGAAAGGTGGGTCGTTGATAGGGGATCGACGAGTATGTCGGTATATCAGCCGCCTCTGCATCGCATCACATCTCGCATTTCTCGGATGATTCCGCTAGATCTACCCGTCAGATAGTGTGAATCGAAGGATGAGACATCGCTGCATCAAACCATACCGGAGATATCCCACTACCCGCTGTATCCACCCAAAACATACGATGCTGTTTCCAATAACGATACGAGATAAGTCCTCTTTTCAGGGCCTTTTCAGGGTCTTTCCAGGGCCGGAACATGAACGAGATAACCGGAATACCCTCCGAAACCATGATAAGGATTTGTCAAAAGCAAACACTTGAACGATTTGACACATTGGACTACCCCTGAAGCTTAATTTTCTGCCTGCAAGAAATCTGGCTGCCTGTTTTCCATTCAGTAAAGCCAAAAATATCTCATCGATTGATATACGCTTGCTACCAGCTAAGCGAGGTCGCGATACGTAACAAAGCGAGCTCTTAAATGGCGAGGAGTAGAGAATCATGATGAGAAAAGGCAGTGATGGAATACATGTTGTCCTGTCAGTCACGTGATAGCACACCTTATCAATGCTTCGGTGCCTTTGTGGATTTTAATCTCCACCCTTCACTTTCAGTGTATATCGTCCGAGGTTCCGAGTAATATCCAGAACACTAATAAACACGAGTGACACTTTCTGAGACCGACCACGGCCGGTAGCATTGACTGATAGATCTTCCGCAAGGGTACAGCTCACCGGTCGGAAGAAGTTATTGAGTTCCACCAATAATCAAGTGCAAAGAGAGCTCAAAACAAGGATGAAGCTTTCTTGTACCTGAAAAAACAAGATGAACCAATACAATTTATTCAAAATTATATGGGGCTACAAATTGATGCGGGGTTTCATTCCCCCATGTTTTCCTTTGATAATCTGGGGACGAGATTATCTCCACATTTTCTTGAAGATGGGATGAAATGACAGGCTTATGCTCCAATCATGAGCTCACCGTCTTCGTCACCGAACCCAAGCCAAGGGAACAAGTCCGGAGAAATAGAATCTCCTTAATTCCCCTGAAAGTAATGTGGAGGCTTTTCATGCTCAATTTAATTTGGAGACAGGGCAGTATATAAGTCCTACCAGACCCCGAGCATAGCTATGGAAACTGCCAAGCTACCTCTTCAATTACTTGGGCAACTGAAATATTCGTTTCGTACTTCAAGATGCATTTCCAATTGAGCTCCGTTCTTTCAATTGCTTCCGCTGCAGCTGCAGTTGCAAGCCCAACATGGCAAGACGCTTCATGGGATCAGGCGCTCGCTCGTAGAGGTCACCCAAAGCACACATCATCAAGGCCAAACGTGCAATGCCACCCCAAGAGTCCACATACACCTGCACCTTCTCCGCCAGCCAGAACTAAGACATGCTATGTCAAGAGTTCCGGCAATGGAACAGATGACTCTCCAGCCATTCTGAGCGCACTTCACGAGTGTAACAACGGCGGTCATGTAGTTTTCAGTGAAGGTGTGACATACTTGATCGGCACAGCAATGGACTGGACTTTCCTTAAGCACATTGATCTCGGTATGCAATTTCCAATACTATGCCAATCAATGCATTTTTTTTACTAATGACTCTTGCAGACATTCAGGGTGAAATTCTCTTCTCAGACGATACGGATTATTGGCAAGCCAATGCCTTCCCATTCGTCTTTCAAAATGTCACCTCATTCTTCAAGCTTGGAGGAGAGGACGTCTTCATGTATGGTGGTGGTACCCTCAATGGAAATGGCCAAGTCTGGTACGATCTTTACGCCACAGACATCTACACACTCAGACCAGTCCTTATCGGAATTGATGGACTCAAGGACTCTATCTTGAGCGATTTGGTTCTACGTTATTCACCAGAGTACTACAACTTCATTGCAAATTCAAGCAATGTTGTATACAACAATATCAACATTGCCGGTGGAAGCACGAGCAATAACCCTGCAAAGAACACTGATGGATGGGATACATACAGAAGTGATAACATTGTTATCCAGAACTCTGTCATCAACAATGGAGATGGTAAATACCCTTCCTTCCGGACTTTGAAACCTTGCTAATCAAATTCTAGATTGCGTTTCTTTCAAGCCCAACAGCACCAACATCTTAGTTCAAAACCTTTTCTGCAATGGTTCTCACGGAATCTCCGTTGGATCCCTCGGTCAATATCCTGGAGAATTTGATATCGTCGAGAACGTATACGTCTACAACACCTCATTACACAATGCCACCGACGGTGCACGTATCAAGGTTTGGCCAAACACCGCATCGGCTCTCAGTGGTGATCTCCAAGGTAAGAATATTCCCCTGCGCTCACCTGCCAATTACACAACTAACACACCTGTAGGAGGCGGAGGATCTGGCAGAGTAAACAACATCACTTACGACACAATGTACATCGATAACGTTGATTATGCCATCGAGGTCGACCAATGCTACGGTCAAAAGAACTTAACCCTCTGTCTCGAATTCCCCTCTCCTCTCACCATCACCGATATCATTTTCAGAAACTTCACCGGCAAAACTAGCACTAAATACCAACCACAGATTGGTACATTTGCTTGTTCGAGCGATACAGTTTGTAACAATATTGTCGCGAGTGGCATCGACGTCTTGAGTCCTACAGGTGTAGATGAGGCTTATTGTCTCAATGTTAACGAGACCGCATTGGATGTTACTTGTACTACAGATTTCTTGGGGTTTAATTAGGTGGATGGATGTTTGTGGCACTCAGTTCATGTCAAGAGACGTTGTATAACTTAAATGATGTTATGTTAATGTTATAATTTTGTTAAGATAAATTGGTCTTAATGTTGTGGAATTTGTCTGCTGGACGATGCTCTGTTATCTCATCATACAAGTGTACAATTTCTATGAATATCCCTTTAACCTCACGATTTCTTTTTGCATCGCTTCTCTCGTCGCACATATACTTGAAAACTTCACAACTCTCATCCAAACTTACAAATCTACACACATCATTCAATTAAGGTAGCTCAAGAACGAAGCATTTCTACACTTCGTAACCTATCTCGAAATTTCCTTATAATTTCGTCCGAAAATTCCTTTTCATCACTGTACAAATCTCATTCAGATATTAACTCGTATTTAAAGTTTTATTTAAAGCTCGTTCCATTTAAGGTTACTCCGAGCCCCTTTTCAAACTTAATTAAGGTTCCAATTAAAGTTGCATTTAAGGTTTCATCGAACTTTGCGAACCGTGGGCATGAAATTCCATTCGGATTCTGCGGGAAGTCTCGTCCGAACTTAAATATACTGCAGGTTTCATCTTGATATTCGTTTGGTGCTTCTTTTGCTGCTTATCTAGTCGAGGAATGATAAGAGTATATAGGTTGTGTAGATTCCATCCTACACTTTTGGGTAGTTAGCTTCTTTTTCTTTCTTTTTGGTCCATTTGATGGAGGTTCTCAGAAATGTAGATGAACTTGACGCTCCTCTCTATCGAAGAAAACGATTGAACGTATTCTAGCAGAGGAGTAAATACTTGCGCATTATAGATCCACATGCGTACTAGAGAGCTTTAGATCCGCTTAATCCTACTCGTATAGCACGCATTGACCCATATGTTAAATTCTTAGGAATACATTGGAGCAGGACTTGATGCATTAGAAAGAGTGTTGACACCTGCCATCGCCGCAGAAAGTAGCAGATTTCCTGATACCTTGAATCAAGCCCATTTCTAAACAATAAGGAACGTCAAGCTTGGCTTTGTGGTGATGATTTGTGGCGATGAAATTCTAGGGATTAACGGTTGCTTTGAAAACTGGTCGGTGAAGCGGTAAATGTGGTATCTGGTAGACTACCTATACTTTTAGGTTATTGATTACGCTGAAGACAGTTCCAGTGAAGGTGACGTCGGATTGTTATACTTGGTATAGAAAGCTAGGACGATGACGTCGAAGAATAGACTATCAATGATCTTCTATAGGCCTTGCCAGTTACGGCAAGAAAGATGAGAGGTGCGAACGTTTGATAAAATAATCATAGTGCTAGTGATGTAGTCCGCTGTACCGCGCATGAGTTCAAACTTGATCTCGAAGTCGAGATCACAAGGAAGTGATGATTGAGAAGATTGCATTCACTAACTGAATATTCGAACAAAATCTCCTGGACCACAATGAGTATAATTGCGAAATACCTCAGATCTTGGGTACCTAGAAGGTAGGTCGCTTTGAATAAAGTTTAGAAGATACAGCAGGATTTGCACTAAGTCAATGATCGATGACGTCGAAAGAACCTTCACTGAATATGCGACTCAACATAAATCTAACATGATCTGAGCGGTCATCGAATCGATCCTGAAGCCAAAGAAGCGTCGATAGCATGCACTTGCTTGCCATGAGGACAAATTTCTAGGCCTTCTCTCAAGAAGATCCCCAGCCCGTATATAATCGTAAAATGGTCTATAAAGTAAGACTATAAGAGTAGCAGGAGGTATTCTTACGCATGCATCCTTCCATTCCATGTAGATGGATAGAGATACTTGCATGTAGCAGATGTCCTCTTTGTGCTTCGGCGTGTATATCTTTCCCTGAATTTCATTCCAAATCAATCATTACCAGTCGAACAAGCAGCTCATATTGGCGCACCCAAATCGATTCTGAATTGCTTGAAAAAGATCATTAGCTTCTCGAAATAGGTTTTGAGGGTGGAGATACTAAAAGACTACCTAGGTAGCAACAATGGATATTAGATAAGTCTGAAGTGAAATCTGAATGACTGCTTTTGATGGAAGGTGCTGTATAAGTGATGTTGAAGAAGGAGACCAAAAAGAATTAACTCAGTAGTAAAAAGCGAAATAAAGCTTCACTCTTTGATGTTTACTTGCTCATGATAAAAATGTCAACAAAGTGTAATCCGGATACTGTGCTCTCAATGATTACCCAGGTAACCTTCTAGCTGCTAAACTCTTACGCCACAAATTGAGCCACGGCTTCAACTCCTTTGGCTGCCATATTTCAGCCAAAACATCTCCATACTCGAACTTGTTCGGTTCCGAGAGACTAAGTAGAATTCCACATTATTACCTATAAGGTTAATCTTTTAACCCCCATTCTCGTCGGCAGTCAAAATCGAGGAAGAAAAAGGTGTAACCGTGTAATTTCGATCAAGGGTGGCATAGACACCTTAATACGCAATCCATGGCGGATCCATTTCCTCGTTCGGGACCGAGAATTATAGCTTTGCCAAGCTCAGCAGTAGATCGTGGCTGCGAGTATCAACCAAAAAGACATTTGCATCGCTACAGCTTTACAAAACTTACCTACCTAGGCAGGTGTCACAACGAACGTTGCCCAAGCCCAAAAGATCCTGTACTCCGTAATTCAGTACTGGTATCATCCGACCACCATCGACTTCCAAGTTCACAGTTCACAGTTATACTGCAAGTGGTATTAGAATGGTTCGGGCCTTTCTCTATAATCGCCAAGAAGATTGTGCACCGAGTTCCCACCTGCCTAACTTTGTTTCTGAGTTTAAGCAGACTTCCTAAATCCCCATGTCTGGATTGAACTTGCACGCGCGTCTTTTCTTGGTCCCATATTCAACTTTTAGCTATGTAATGGCAATTGGCGGCCAAGGTCCACCGATCCAGTTATTCATAGATGAGATCGACCTAGTCCTTCAATCATATCTAATATCATAGCATGGTGCAAATCTTGGCAAATTCCAAAATCTGCAACACACTACCGATATTCAGACAAGCGCCGCTAACACAATTATGTAATTCTTCTGATGTTTCGAACCCGATTCCCGAACGATTCTTTTACCCAGATCAAGACAGAAGCAAGTCTCTTTGGGGGATGGGAAGTAATTGGAGGTCCAACAATACTATGATAGATTTGATTGATGTGCTGGATAATCCCAGTGTACTTTTGGCCGTACAACAAAGAGAAGGAGAAGGAGAATAAAAAACACAGTCGGTCACCTCGGCTATCTACCAACCTTTCATATCCCCATACTCCAGTACTTCTCTGGCTCACCACCATTGGCATGGGAACTGGGGGCGTAAGTCTTGAGCCCCATAGCTCCCGCCGGTAACGATTTTCAAAATGTTACTGATAAAAAATGTGGATTTAATCTTGAGCTTTGATGAACTCGGAAAGGTCAACTTCAATCTTAGCATTCACCAACTTGTGTTTTTTCTTCAACAATGTATACCCTCCACGCCTTGTACTATTATTTACAACAATCCTATCTTCCGGTTCTTGACATGCTCTAGGGTGCCTCAATGAGTACATACTTCCGAAGAAGTCCATTTTTGAGTGTTGTTTCAAAACAGTACAGGATGATGAATAGTTTGCAATTCATCTGTTTACTGCAGTCCACGCCAAAGAGGAAGCCCTGTGCAAGCATTGTGGGGACCGATCGTGGCACCCTGCTAGTCAATATACAATTTTGAACGTGGGTTCTGGCTTCTCCTATACCTCATCTGGTTTGTTTCCGCCCGATATGAAAGTGACAAGAAGGAGAGCCCTTTGCCTTTTACGTCACCCATAGACGGTAGGATGCATCGGCCCTGAAGGTTTTACTGCAGGGGAAATATTCCAATCATCTCAAGTGTCAATATACATGGCTCTAGCTCTATCTCGAAACCTAGACCCTGGCAAATTCCGATGGGACACCAAGTATATATCTGAAGTATTTTCTCTTCCCGTAGAATCTTTCTTTTCTCATCAGCTTTTCAGTCGCCAGTGATATCCTATTTCTCCGTTCTCTAGATATCAACAAGTCGCCATGCGTTCTTCTACCTTGACAGTCACTGCTGCTGTATCTGCTGGCATTGTTAATGCCGCAGCAAATTCTACTCTCAGTGATATCTGCACAACCTCCTACATCCAACAATCCCTTCCGGACCCTGCTACTATTGACCTTGCCGTCACTCTCAACTCTACATCCGTCACGGCTAACGCAGTCTCAAACACTACTACTACTGGCAATACCTTCTTCCCAGACGCGACAATCAGTTACTGTAATGTAACTTTCACCTATTCTCACACTGGAAGAGAGGATTCAGTACTTGTCCAGTATTGGTTGCCTGCCCCAGCAAACTTCCAGGGTCGCTACTTGTCCACTGGAGGTGGTGGTTATGCAATCAATTCTCAAGATCAATCACTTCCTGGTGGTATTATCTATGGTGCCAGTGCTGGTATCACAGACGGAGGCTTTGGAGGATTCACTAACAATTTCGACACCACTTTTCCCCTTGCCAATGGTACTGTCAACTATGACTCCCTTTTCATGTTCGGCTATCAAGCCCATCACGAATTGAGCTTGATCGGAAAACAGTTCACAAAGAACGTGTTCGGCATGGGAGACAACAAGCTTTATTCTTACTACCAAGTATGTTTTCCTGTGTCATTTCTCTAGCGAGAACTTAATTGTTAACTATCTTAGGGATGCTCCGAGGGTGGACGTGAAGGATGGAGTCAAGTTCAACGCTACGCTGATGAATGGGATGGTGCCATCACAGGTGCTCCAGCCATGCGATTTGCTCACCAACAAGTTCAACATCTTTACTCCAACGTGGTTGAAAAAACTCTTGGTTACTACCCACCACCCTGCGAGCTGGATATGATTGCGAACCTTACAATCGCTGCTTGTGACCCTATGGATGGCAAGACAGATGGTGTTGTTGCCCGTACAGATCTTTGCAAATTAAACTTCGATCTGAACTCCACACTTGGTGA